TCGAAGACCTTGAACTAGCTATACATTTCCAAAGAGAATCAAACATGACGTGTTCAATTTGATAGTGACGTAATATCGCGCGAGACTTATTTGTTCATCAACAGTAGTTTAATATATATTGAGAGACACTGGAAAAATATAATTTTTTTTTTGTTTTTTAAAATATATTTTTACTATTTTTGAGTCATATTTTTGTAAAATATAAAAATAAAATAAAAAATAAATAAAAAAACTTGAAAAAAAATATAAAATAAAATTATAAAATAAAATTATAAAATAAAAATAAAATAAAAAAGAAAATAAAAAAACTAAAAAAAAATATCAAATAAAATTATAAAATAAAAATAAAAGTAAAATAAAATTAAAAAAACAGAAATTATAAAAATATTATGTAATTTATTATAATTGTTTTAATCGTTAGATATAGGGATAGATAAATTAGATAGAGTATAATATTTGTAGAAGAGGGAGAGGAGAAAAAAAAGAGGGAGACATTTTTTTTTTTTGTCGATTAATCGTAATATCCTGCTTTTGACCATGAATTATACAGTAACCTGGCTGAAACTTGTGTTTATTAACCATTATCGTAAATTCAAATGCATAATTCCATAATTTATCGGAAAAACCTTGAAAATTAATAATACAAATAATAAATTTCTTTTCTTTTATTTTTTTTTTGAAAAAAATTGATTATCGCTTCAATGATTTTTTTTTTACCGCATTGTAAAATATAATTTTGTCTCTTCCGGTATGTCATCAAAATATTTTTTTTTAGTTCTACAAAAGGTTTTTTTTTTTGTCTTGTCATTTCATGTTTTATATATTATTATTAATATTATATATATATATATATATAAAGTCAACGATGTTCTTTCTGACTCATTTCCACATTTTTTTTTCTTTATTCTGTTTATTTTCTGATATCCAGATAAAATTCAAACGAAAAAGAATTCTTATACAAACAATATTATTAATTATAAAAAGTTTTATTGTAAATTTATTCAGAGAAACAGTCAACTAAAAGAACATATAAATTTTACAACGATTTTTAAATCTAAATATTATTTTATTTAAAAAAAAAAAAATTATATGAAAAATATTTTTTTATTTAAAAAAAATTATATGGAAAATATTTTTTTATTTAAAAAAAATTATAGAACATATTTTTTTTTAACAGAGAAATATGATTTATGAAATATTTTTTTATTTAAAAAAAATTATGGAAAATATTTTTTTGAACATAGAAATATTTTTGTTTGTTTTTGTTTTAAAGAAAAAAAAAAAAAAAAAATTGCTAAAGGTTAAAAGAATAGCGGTTTTGTTTGAGTCAATAATCCCGGTTCGATTATAGAAAACAGGACAAACAAGTGGAAAAAGTTGTCTAGACATAATTCGTAAAACGTTCGATACAAAAATCTACTAGGTCAATTTTATTTCTATTTTACGATTTTGCATTTTCAATAAATTTTATATTTTTTTCGCAAATATATTTTATCCGATTGAATTTTTTAGTTTCTTTAAAATACGATCTCGAAGTTCGCGAAAGTTTATATTTTATACATAGAGGAGAAAACGTGATAAAAAAATGCCTGAGAAAATAAATTTTGTATATGAAAATTATTATTCGAAATTCAAATTACATTAAATTTAAATAAATAAAAATTAATTAATTTTGTAAAAAAAATTACCTAATTAATTTTGTAAAAAAAAAATTATGGATTTAAATCCGTAATTTTCCAGCAAAGACTATAATTAAAGAATAAAATAATTTTGCGCAAAAGTAATTTAGAAATAAAATTAATTTTTTTTTTTTTTCAATTTCGAAATTTTCTATTTGCTGGAACGAAACTTTTTCCTGAATATTATATATATTATCTGAATTGAGAAAGTGAAATGTTAGCTTAAATGTCAATTTAAATAGTTTCTCCTATTTTAGCTCTCGTAGAAATAATTCTCTCTCTCTTTCTCTAATAAAATTTTAATGTAGTTACAAATCGATATTTCTATATTCAGGGTTTATATTTCTATTTTTAGTTTTACGTGGCATTGACTCTATACTAAAAACTATCCTATAGGTATATATATATTCAAATTGTTTCTTTATATAAACCTAAAGAGATATTATTAAACATTGTGATATAGAAAATATTTTCAAAGAGGTTGCCGAACTTTTGAAATTTAATTTTTTTTCTTGCTTGGGGAAATAGTGCAAGCGTACAACTTTGACATTGGTGAATTTATTTTATAAAACACAATTGTTACTAAATCGTGACCAAAAAAAAAACACGGAAATTACTTCCGGTAGGAAATTAAATAGAGACTTAACACATTGTAAAATATAATTTTAATGTCTATTTTATTTTTAACAATTAGTCATTGTTTAAGAAACCACAAAAGTTGCTATATGATGAAATCTATTCTGTATTTTTATTTACATTTTTTTATTTTTCAATATTTTATTTTTTCATGGTTTGAATTTTGATAAGATCAATATAAAAAATAAAATTAAACCGAAAAAAAGGACATTTATTGATATTTTAATTTGCAAAAAAAAAAAATTTTAAATAATAATTTTTTTTTTTATCGGAAATGCATTATTCTCTGTAAATAATTCTTTGATATTTTCAGGGTTATCGTTATCTGCGGTTTTTTTGAGATAAAAACCAGGGTATATTAAAAACGTAAATATTAACGTGAATTGCCTTTTTTTATATATTAAATAAATTTAATATCAAAAAAAAAAGATTGAATTGGAGGAAAAATTAATTTTCAGAAAAGATTTTTTATCAAATTATATTTTTTTTGCGTCATTGATGATTATTTTAAATATTAGTATAGTAGCAGAAATGGGATCTCGTTATCGCCTAAAGTACATATAACGATTGTTATAACCTGCCGGTTCTAATTATAGTCTATTTAGGTATGACGTTTTTTTTTTTTTTTTTTTTTTTTCTCCGGTTTATATATACAGACACGTGCTTGCACGTTTGTCTTATTTAGTTTCATAATCGTGTGCAAAATGAACGGATGCTAACGAATTGAAAATTCAAGAGAGAGAACCAATTCCTTTACCATTTTTCTTCGTTAATTGCAAAACACTTTTTTTTTTTATCTTGTTCCTTAAACAATCAAATTGACAAGAATTCAATTACTAGAGTTTCGTAATTTATTTTCTGAATTAGTTTACTTTATACTATAATTGCCATTTTTTAAATTTGAAAACTAAAAAAAAATTACTACAATTAAAAATTTTAATTTTTAATTAATTTAAATTTTTTTTTAAATTTTAATTAAAATTATTTTAAAAAATTTATCGACTAAATTTAATTTTCAAATATTTATTACAAAAATCATTATTATTATTATTATTATGATTATTATTATTATTATTATTATTATTATTATTAATATTATTAAATAATAATATAATATTTAATTTACTTTAATAATAATAATAAAAAATAATATTTAATTTATTTAGACGTGTAGAATAATTTTTATTCCAAAATAACTGCGATATATTTATTTAATGAATGATGACCTTAATTCTATTATTTTATCACAGAGAATGATACTTGAATTAATTATTATTGATTCTTAATTTTGGCCGGTAACAATATTATTTTTAGAAAAATCTAAAAAAATACTAAAAAAAAAAAGAAAAAACAAAAATTAGTATAATTAATTTCTAATAATAAATTGTACTAATTTATTAATTAATAATAATAAATTAATAATAAATAATAATATATTATTTGTTTTAATTTAATTATTTTCAAAAAGACGTAAATTATTGTTTATTAGTTGAATTTAATTATATCGATTAATTTATGATACGTGTAATATAATAATTTTTTAATATGAAAAAAAAAGTAATTATCTCATTTTACAGAATCCTCACATTTATGAAATGACATTAAAGACAATAAAAATAATTATTATTTCACTAGAAACTGATAACAGATAATTTTATGATGATTGGTTTTTCGAGCTCATTAAGTCTTGTGTTTTAACAAGTTTGCTTTATTTTAATGACGCATTGTTTTCTCACAAATTTCCCTTTTATAATTGCCGATATTTACAATGACATTCAGACTTTTTTTTTCTCAAAACTATCATACTTATAAATATATTTTAATTATCGAATTTTTAAAATATAACGTTACGAAAAAAAGGAAATAATTTGAAAAACAAAAATAAATAAATATACAGAAATAAATATAAAAAAAATTAATTTTTTTGGCAGATTGATAATAAAATAAAATTAAAAATAGATTTTTTTTTTAATTAGAAAATTATTATTAAAAATCTTGATGCAAATGAGAATATTATTTGAATATTTAAAACGACAGGTGTAGAAGATTAAAATTGACAAATCAAGGAGCAATAAAAAATATCATTTATAATCTTCTGGGGATGAAATACAAGGTGAAATCTTTTTTGTAAAAGCTGCTGTGCCATTATTTTACACCTGACCCCAATCATTTAGAGTCAGTTTTCTGGCACACACAAAAGCCAACAATGTTTTGTTATTTCTATCGACTTCATTCGGTGCAACCACACTGGAAACCCAGAAAACCATTTCAAGGTGAAAGATATCATTGTTTTCAAAAAAAAAAAAAAAAAAAAAAAAATTGAATGCAGAAGGCCTGATGGTTTTACACAATGACACAGATCATCTTATATGATCATGAAATTCTCTCTCCAAAAACCACAAAAATTTCTCTTCAACAATATTCGAAAAAATATATAATAAAAAAATAAATTTTTTCCCCATTTTAGAAAAGATTTCTCGTCTGAATTCTCCGTCCCTTTCACTTTCCTTTAACCTGAAATAGAAATCCCAAAATAAATGTCTGGCAATTTTGTGTATGTTCAGAAAGGGACAAAGCCGGAAGTTGTTGATAAATTAGAATAGAAAATAAATAAAAAAAATTTATGTTTTGAAAAAAATGATTTTTTTGAAAAAAATATAATTATTTTTCTATTTTTTGTTACAGAGTTCGTATGGAAAACCTGATAATGTTGTAGCTCAGGAGACATTGAACAATCATGTGCGATGCAACAGTTCTTTTGTTCATAAACTTTTTCAAGCACAATTTTGCTCGAGTTTAACATGTCCAAAATGTAAAAAACAATCAAATACATTTGATCCATTTCTTTGTGTATCGGTACCAGTGCCGCAAAATCATCGGCAAATTAATCTCTTCGTTAATGTTTTGTATACTTCACAACAACCACGACAAGTCAGAATTGGAGTTAGCGTCAATCAAGCAGCAAATGTCAAGGAACTGAGAGAAATGCTCGCAAGCGACACTGGAATCGATGAGAATCACATGCTTCTCACTGAAGTCTACGACGAAGGTTTTCACAGGTAATTTTAATTAAAAATAATTTTTTTCACGAATTTTCATTTTTCGAATTAGTATTTAAAACGAAATTTCTTTTTATACAAATTTTTAACAAAATTTTTTTGCTAAAATTTTTCTAATAAATTTCTAATAAAAAATTATATAATTTTATAATTAATTTGTTTTTTTTCAATTTTTTTTTTAAGGACCTTCTCGGATTGTCAACCATTGTCAGTGATCACAGAGAACGATCCTCTTTATTGTGTGGAATTGCCCCAATTAAAGGAACCAACAGAACAGGCCTATATTCTACTTGTTTGGATAAATGTCCTTGTAAAGGGAAATTTACGTGAACGTTTTGGAAGTCCATATACAATGCAAATATCCCGTGAAACATCGTATGAAGATTTACAAAAACTTTTACTTAAAGAAATGCATGCAACATTAGCTGATGATGTTCTTACATCAAGTCAAAGTCCAGGATTATTTAATATTCGTGTTGCCGATCCAGTTGCAACACCAGCGCAAGATGAACATCCTTGCATTGATCCTTGCGTTGAACATCCATTATATACAGAACAAATTGAACAAGCATTGGCTCTTTGTGCCGATGATTCTGGTCCACAGCATGTAAAATTAATTCTCGAATGGGATGAATCAACAAAATCAAATATAATACAAGATGACACTGATCAAATTGAAGAGCATGCGAGTGTTAAACAATTGAAAACAAATTCTGAATTTGGTGAAAATTCAGTGACACTTGAAGAATGTTTTGATTTTTATACAAGAGAAGAGACACTTGGCGCTGAAGATGCATGGTATTGTCCATCGTGTAATCGAAAGCAGGAAGTTGTTAAAAAACTTGGTTTATGGACATTGCCACATATTCTTGTGATACATTTAAAAAGATTTCGTCAACAATCAAAGCAACGTTCAACAGCAAAATTAACAATGTTAGTTGATTTTCCATTATATGGTTGCGATATGACACCGCATTTAGCAAACAGTGATAATTCATCGAATAATTTTGGTAATTTAGAAACAACTGGTTGGACATCGTGGAAAAAATCACGATCAAGACAGAGGCAAAATTTTTCCAAATATATTGATGACAATGTTTATGATTTATATGCAATATGCAATCATCATGGACAGGATCTTCAAGGTGGACATTATACTGCATTTTGTAGAAATCCATATGATACACAATGGTATTGTTTTGATGATACAAGAGTTGAACCATTAACTGAATCGGAATTAGTTACAAATTCAGCGTATATGCTTTTTTATCAAAAACGAGGACCGAATAATAATTCAACGGGAAATTCATCAGCTGCATCGACAAGTTCAGCTGGCTCAGGACTTGATCATTGGGTATCAAGAATGCCACCATTCTATTATAATAATAGAAATAGTTGTAATGCACCAAGTAATAAACAAAGTAAATCACAAGAGATATTGTGCCAAGAGAAAATCGTTAAGGAAAAAAATTTAAATAATTTCAATAGGGGCTGTAGAAATTATGCAACGTTGCAACCGCAAAAGAAAAATGTTGGAACGGAAACCGATTGTGGTGAGGTTGATCGTTATTCAGATGTTGAAGTACCAACGAATTATCCATCGAGAAGAGATTGGGTAAATTGATTACTAAATTTTTATTTATTTATTTATTTTTTATTTTCTAATTTTTATATTTTTTTTCAGGCATCACCGAAACCTGTGAGAAGAACGTCATCAATCACATTAATTCCCCATATACCGCAAGCAATAATTCAAAATGCCAACAATGATCAGGACACAACAGTGATACATGAATCAACATTGTAACACACAATTTAAGCCAGACTTGATTGTCTGGCCTATTATTGAGCTTGGCTCAACGAGTGCCTAGAACCTGGCGTTTCCGTTAAGTCTGAACTCAACGTAACAGTAGAGAAGAAAAAGACAATTCAATATCCCCTAAAGCCACATATTTTTTTTTTCTTTTTTTTTATTTATTTTATGTCAACAGAGAGCATCGATATTTTGACTAGAATCCCCTCCGAAAAAACCTTTTCACTTAAAACTTTGTACAATTCCTCTATTATATAACTAATGCATCTATCTACAACGAGAGATCTCAAAAAAAAATTGTTAACTTTTCTCTTTTTCGAATTCTATTTCTATACGCGCCAAAATAGAAATAATTTTTTGTGTAAAAAAAATGAAACAAGTTCGAGGCATTAGTGAATTTCATATTTATATAGAACATTTGTACGGATTGCGTGAATTGCTTAAAGAAAAGGTAGTTAAGAGAGAAAGAATGTGTGTGAAATCTTTATATCTGATATAGAAACACTAAAAAAAAAAAAATTGGCCCCAAACTAACTTGTCAATGTAATTGTCGGTTTGCAGAAAGTCCAAAGAAATTCTAACGAGTAATTTTGACTTGTTTTTAATTTTATTTTTTATTATTAATTATTAATAATTAGAATTCTTGTAATTATTAATTATTATTATTATATGTATTATTAATTATATAATTAATTAATAGCATTTTTTTTTTTAATGACTTTTTTTTTATTTTTATGATAACAATGAAACAGTTGACAATAAGAAATGCATTATAGAGAATTTTTTAATTTTTAATATATTGAAAATGAAAAGAAATTTCTTTTTCTGTGACAATTTTTTAAATGCTCAAATCAAGGACACTGTAATCTGACATTTACTTTACTTTTGAATATAATTCGCTTAGATTGTAATATTTATATTGTATTTGTATTACCCACTAGTGGCCTTACAATAATCAATATCGATACATCAATAATATTCACAATTTATAAAAACTAACTATTTTACTTTGAGCATTTTTTTTTTTTTTTGTTTTTTTTTTTAAATATATTAGATAAATAAATGTCACGCCAAGAGTCACTGAATCTAGAAATTGGGAATTAATTTTTGTAAAAAATTAACATTTCTTCCACTTTTTCACCGTTCTTCCAAATATTAAAAGACTAACTCTGATTTTTTCTTTTATATATAATATCAAGAGATTAAAAGACTTTCTTGGTGCAGTGACTTTTTTCCGTGTGATTTTAAAAAGGGTACCAATATTTTCAATTGTTTTTTTTTCTTTTTGTATTAAATACTCAAATCTCCCAATTTTAATCATCATTCCAAATAAGAGTTTTCAAATGAAGTTAAAGAGAGAAAAAAAAAGAAAAGGGGAGAAAGTGAGCAAGTGAGCAAGAGTATTAAATTTATAAATGAAAAAGTGAGAAGATTTATATAGAAAAAAAATATATATATATATATTAAAAAAAAAAAATGTATGAAACACAATGAGTGTCGAGATGTTTAAGTTATTTTAAAAATAATGTTTACAACTAGTCACACAATTCGTGGACAGGGGTAGAAATTACAAGTGATTTATAAAATAATAAATTCAAGTTGTAAAAGAAAGATTATTATACTATTATCGATTAACTATCATTTATTAGAATTATTATTTAGAAAAAAAAAGTTATTATGTAAATCTCGTTAAACGACTGAGAGATATTAAAAAAAAAATTGTCGATTCATATTATTACTGATTTTGTTGAAATAAATAGAAAATGTATATGTAAAAAAAAACGTTATTCTTCATTTCAATTTGTTTTTAAATACAAGAAAATAATATTTAATTATTAATCATTTTGAAAGTAAAAAATCAAAAACAATTTAAAATTTTTAATTTCGTATTGGCGGGAAATATTTAAATTATGACAATCGATAAAAAAAATACAACAGTTTTTTTTCTACCTTACCGACATATTCAAATATCGTGAAACGAAGTGATTTTATTTCACTTTTTCAGCATTTTTCCCGTAATTAGAATTCGATGAAAGTTGAAAAAAGAGTTTCGTATGCACTTTTTCATTGCCACCATCAGTAAATTGCACACGCGCATCATGTGCAAAATGCAGGATCCTCTTCCTGAAAAACATAAAACATGGCGCCGAGTTCCAAGAATCCAATTGGTCGACACTAGAATTTCTCCCCTCCATAATTTTCGTCAGTCGGGCTCGGATCGCAGTCGCGTGAAGTGTGTTTTTAGTGTATTATTTTGTTCAAGTGTTTGGATTTCTCACTGAAAAAATTAAGGTAAGCAAATCAATATTTGCCCCTTGGGAATAATATGAAAAATTACAATTCAAGTGAAAAGTGTATTTCACATCTCTTTTTATTCGTAAGGATTTTGATTCCAAGTCAAAGTTTAGTATAGTGTTTGACAGGCGACTGATCCTTATTGGTGCTCTTATAGTAAATTTATCAAGATTTTTACAATTTCCGTTATTTTTGCAATATGAAATTCATTGTTTGAACGTTCTGTTTCGATTATTATTATTACCCGGCTTAGAAAAAAAACAATAACCGGGGTGCCTCTCCCTCGAGAGTAAATCGCGGGGGCGCTTCACTCTCAGGATCGATACACAGGACACACACTGTGTCACAATACATTGTAGGTGTAGGGCTCATTTTGCTCTGTTTTCTGTGCGTGTGAGAATGCGTGCGTACACGTAACGCGGGGTTGAAATTTTATTTCCTTCGACCACCTTGGTTTTGTATGGCCTCCGAGAAATTTAAGAGGACGCTTTCGATCTACTGACAATTATGCGGGTGATGCATTCTCAAAAAAAAATAAAGTCCTATTTCAGAATATAGTGTGACAGCTCTTTTTCTTGTGGATTTTATTTATTAAAAAGTGCGTAATTGGTGAGAAATTTTTATCTATATCCCGTCATTATTTGTATTTGTTTAGTACTATTATTCATTTTACAGATTGTTATATTTTCTTTGTTTAAGTGTTTAGTGAGGAAAAAATGATTTTTTTAATAAAGGAATTATAAAGAAAAATGATTCACGGAGAAAGTAATTTCAGGTTATTTCTTTGTTTATTTTTTTATGACTGTCGAGTCTCTTATCTGCGGAATTTATTTTAATAAAATTTCAGGTTATGTTTTGAGATAAGATGATAAAAATGGAATTTGAGATAATAATTTCCAAAATTAGGGTATTTAATTTAGATAAGTGTATTATAAAATAAAGAATTTAGATTGTTAAATCATTTTTATTGATATAAATGATTTTAATTGTAATTTTTTTATTGTCAAGTGTCAAATGTTTGTTTAAAGCACGTACACAACATTTGCAGTTGCACTTTAATCAGCAATAAACTTAAATTGCTTCGTCCAGGGAATCGTATAAATGTCGTGATGCGACTATATTAGCTTCTAGACATTGACTCATTCATTGTACTATCGCAAAATCACATTGCCGGAAATTGCTTTGATAAACCTGCGAGGGCCGACAAATGCACGCGTGAAGTTAAAGGCGCTTTAACACATTTCATTTCTCAAGCAAACAAGAGTAGTGTCATTGCATTTCCACCCTTATTCAATATAGAGTAATATCAATTTTGCATATGAAATTTAATTTTGCCCTTGTGGCTTGACAAAATATTTTTAGGTTATAAATTGGAGAATTTTTCTTTTTTTTTCAAATTAAATTTTTATGACATGTGGTATATAATCGAGAAAAAAAAATGGTGTACCGTAATCAGGAAACTATAAAATAACGCTTTTTAATTATAAAGAGTCCGTTTGAAAGTAAATATTTCAAAAACGTTAAATACAGCCAATAAATATTCAGTTAAATTATTGTTGGAGCGATATTTAAAAAAAAATATTTAAATTTACAACTTGAGTAATTGTATAACGGTGAGTTTAATTTTTTTTTAATTACAAATTAAATAAATTCATTTTTAAATATAACAAAAAGACGATAATTTAAAAAATATTTATGACAAATTTAATTTAATTTTTTTTTAGATCAAAAAATAATGAAATGAAAAAAGAATTATAAAAAATGTTAGTGATATCATTTTTTTTTTTTAATTTTTCATGACTCCCGCTGTTGGAAATATAGGTCGACTTAAATAAAATATTGCACTTAGGCGTGAAAATTTTAGACTCTCTCGACTGCGAAGCAACGACCCAATTAAACTTAATTGAAAATTGATAGATGTTTTACATTATGAGAGAAGTTTCACTATTCGCAGGGATAATAATCGTGTGTCAATAGAGTTATATCTCTAAAGAAACTATAAGGATAACGGTTTTCGATCTAGATAATAATATAGTGAGGAAAATGATTTTTTTTTTTCTATTTTTCTACTCAAGATTAAATATATCGATGAAAACGATAAATATCATTTGTGAAATAACTTTCTTTTCTTGAGTCAATAATAATAATAATAATAATAATAATAATAATAATAATAATAATAATAATAATATCATTTAAGAGCAATTTTCTACTTGAGTCTCGACTTGAGTAAAATTTGTCCAAAGGGTCAAAAGTATATTTATCGAAATTCATAAGATTTATTTTTTTTTCTCGCGTAATTATTATTTATTTACGATTTTCGGATGTCGCTAAAAATTTACTTTTCATTCCTATATATCTTTTTTTATTTTTCCGTTAATATTTTATGTTTTATGAGATTGGCACACATAAATTTAGAATTAACAACCTGTTTTCCATTGCATAAGCTTTCGTAATATTCAATTTATGATACAGAGTGGTGAGCGCACCGACTAAATCCTAAATCATATAATTTATGATAAAGAAGACACATTTCATATTACAATATCAAAGGGGAAATGATTTTCATTAATTTATCCAATATCATCATAATTTTCAATGTGATCCAGATTTCTGTTTTTATGTTTTTAGATAATGATATAAAATAGAATTAATTTTAGATTAGATATAGTAAAAATAAATATTTAAATATAAAATATTTTCAATAATAAATATTTTATTAATTCACTATATTATTGTTACGTGATATTTTATGTGAAATAAAAAAAAAAGGTCGGAAATAGCATTAAGCGTGGCTTTCATTGTCATTGATTTTTCTCGAAATAGAATAAAGTACTTATTTGAAAAATTTAATAAAAATATTATTTTAAAAACAACTCTTTATATTTGGAATCATTTATATAAAAGTTAAAATAAATCCCTTAGTAACAATCGATTTTTTTTTTCAATATAAAAATAAATCAATGAAGAAAAAAATTATTATAAATTAATGAAAATATATATATATATATAGGGAATGTGTGTGTATACAGATGGAAAGAAAAAAACGAAAGACTTTTGACCTGTGTGCGCGAGTTAAAGCAAAACTATGCCAGAGTTGCCTCGGGCTTTAGAAAATATTTCACGTGCCCTTTGTGATCGTGTGCGCTTCCACGGTGAACATTTTCCACGTTCCTTGTGGAAACATAGCTCTAGGGTTTTTAAATGAAAATAGCATTTATAGAAGCTTTCATTAATCTTCGATTAAATTCTCAGCTCTATTTAAAAAAAAAAAAAACTGTTTTTATTTTTATTTTCTATTTATTATTTTCTGTTGGCGTATCTGTATTCTAATAATAATTAATTTTGTTAATAGGCAATTAGACAAAATTTAATTAACTAAATAACGAAATTGTTTTCTCTGAAAAATCAATAAAATTAGTTTTATTCACAATTATCATTTCCCCCCTCAGATAAATCAATTGAATGCTCGTCATTTCCAATTATGTAAATTAAACAATTTTTTTTAGTTGTAAAACTGGTTTTGATAATTTATTATTATTAAATCATTTTTTGAAATCCTAAGAAAAAAAATAGAAAAATAATATTTATTGAATAATAATATTTATATAATAATTAATAATTAATTATTTATATAATAATAATAATATTTATTTTATAAACATTAAATATTTTTAATCAATAAATTAAAAGAAAAAAAAAATCGCAATTAAAATTCTTATTTAAATTTTTTTGTTTTCGCAGGAAAGTGGAAAATGGAGATTAAGAAAAAACAATAGTTACGTGAAGTGAGAGAATTTTATTTAATTTCGTTTTTTTTTCATTTTTCGAACTGATGGATTATCGTATTCTTCACGATGTTTCCCGAACGAAAAGAAAGATATAGAAGTTGGGAGGAGACAGGGAAAAATCTGGCACATCTGGTGGCCACATTTATTTATGCGAATGGTTTCGTGTCGCTCTTACATATATATATATAGATATATTTATCATCGTGAATCCTTGCTTGTACTTCAGTGCTTTTAAAGGAATGGCCATCTGCCGGGTTGTTATCCTTGTGTGTAGTAAGGGACATATCCTCGATTCTCCCGAGAGAAGAGAGAAAATCTCACTCTTCTCTTTTATATAAAATGAAATATAGAAATACAGAAGTCACTCTGTTATGAAATACCATTGAGTTAAATGAAAATCTTCATTCTCCACTTTTGTCATCAAAAAAAAAATTTATCTTTTCTAACTTTCTAAAAAATTTTCCATTAAATTTTTAATAATAAATAATTCAATAATTATTTTAAAAACTTTAGAAAATTTATTTTTTTTCATTATAATTAATTAGAAAGGAAATTTAAAAAATTAGGTTTTATTCACAATTATCATTTATATATGTGAAAGACGAATGGTTTTTATATTGATCAATTTTTTTGCAGGGAGAAAAAGAGAAATATATAGAGATAGAGAGAGAGAGCAAACGAATCATATTCGAGTCGTGCAGTAACATCATAATATTACATGAGAATTATTCAAGCACCAGTAATTCCTTGATGTAAAAAAAAATTTTTTTCGCTTTTGCCAAGAAACGAAGAACCTCTCCGTGAGAGAAAATATTGCATGTTCTCGCGGGCCCGATAACAGGAAATATATAGACAGGATAATATGAAAGATTGGAATACTTGGCAGTGTAAAGTTATCGAACTGTACTCCAATGGAATACGAAAGGTATTTGGCTTTGAAGATTATTTAAAAAAAAAAAAAAAAAACATTGAACGTAGATTATTGAATCCATAGATGGAAATCTCGGAATTGTTCACAAAATCTCTTTTAAATATATTTTTTTGGCTTTCAATCATTTCTTATTCGATATCTCAAACTATTTGCAAAGAATAATTTTTTTTTTTCGAATTTTTTCTTCTATTTTTCTTTTGATAATCTTCTATTTTTATATCTTTGTTATCAATTGTCAAATTTTCTAATCTTTATTTTTCTTTTTCGATAAAAAGATTATTTTTTAATCTAATTTTCTTCTCGAGAAGAATTTTTTTTTTGTATTTTTCAAATTTAAGTACCATTTCTTTTTTTTTTATATAGAGATGTTGTTTTTTCATTTGACATTCGAAGATGATGATGATGCGTTTGAAATCCCCTTAAAGAGGAAGAGAGATGGAGCAACTACTTCCGCCGATCGATTCCTGGGCTCGCGGTTAACTCCCTGGAGTTCCTTTATGCCACGCCTTAACTTTTGGTGTCCCTGCAGTTTATGAGGTCATCAGAAGAGATCAAAATCGGAAACAAAAGAAATTTCCCATCTTTCTCTCTCTCTCTCTCTCTCTTGCTTGAGAGAGAGGAAAGAAAAGCCGAACAGAAAAGATGTTGCGGGTAAATCCTTTCCGGTTGTTCTTCTTCTTTTTTTACTCCCCTTGACGGATCTTTGTTGTTTTCATCTGTCTTTTTCTCTCACTTTTATCTCCCATAAAAAAAATTAAAAAAAGAGTGATTTATAAAAAGAAGGAAAGAAAATCAAAATTACTCGAGTATAAAAATAACTTTCTAAAACTGGTTTTTATATTTTCTTTTTCGAAATTAGAAATCAATTTTGTCGTCAAAATTATGATTATAAAATAGATTTAAAAAATGTTTTCTAATAATTTTTATTTGAAAATAATTTTTCTTTTTTAGTTAATTAATATATCGAGGCTGTGGGAAGCGAATTGCAGCATCTAACTGGACCGCATTGGAATAGATTCTTATTATCCTTGGAATTCACTTCCAAGATCGTATCCCCGTTGTTTCCTGTTTAAACTCTATTGTGTTCTCGATTCGTTCGTATTTCCGGGCGAAGGGCCAGCCTTCAGTTATCTCTCTCTTTCTCTCTGTCTATCTGAATCTATTTATCTATCCTTTTATCTAAATCTATCCGTCCACGTTTACGAACATCTGTTCATCTCTCTCTCTCTTTCTCTCTCTTTATTTATTTCCCTTTCTCTTCCCGTCTCTCTCAATTCATCCCGCGGAGAGAAAACTAATGCAAGCTCCGTACAAACTACAAACAATTGTAGAGGCTATTCTCTAGCTAACAGAACCTATTATTCCAAAGTGTTTCATCCACTTTTAAAGTGTATTTAAAATAAGTTTTTATCGTTGATAACAGTCCCTGGGTGCATTTGAGTTTAATGGACTCGTTTTTAATTAAATTGAAAATTTTTTTTTCTAATCTTAATTTTCGAGTTCAGTAATTAAATAATTTTTGAATTTTTATATTTTTTTCTCGAAAATGGTATAATTTTGAAATTTGTAAGTAATTCAATAATTTGACATTTTCAAATAATTCGATAATTAATAATTAATAATTAATAATTAATAATTATAATTATAATTATAATAAAAATAATTATTATTAGTTTCAATAATTTAATTTTCTTTTTTTTCTCGAAAATGTTGATACAATTTCGAAATTTCTATTTGAAAGTAATTAAACAATTTTACCTTTTTAATAATCAATTATTTATTATCTAATAATAATTATTATTAAAATTATATAATAGTAATTATTATTATAATTTCAATAATTTAATTTTAATTTTCACCAATTTCGAAATTTTCATTCAAATAGTAAATAATTTTCAATTTTCACCAATTTTCTTCTTTTTTTCTCTTGATACAATTTCGTAATTTCCATTTGAATGAAAAATTGTGCCCCCCCCCCTTTTTTTTTCTTGCTGTGGAGAAAAAAAAAAGAAATTGTATCAAGAGAAAAAAAGAAGAAAATTGATGAAAATTGAAAATTATTTACTTTTTTGAATGAAAATTTCGAAATTGGTGAAAATTAAAATTAAATTATTGAAATTACAATAATAATTACTATTAGATAATTATAATAATTATAATTATAATAAAAATAATTATTATTATAGTTTCAATAATTTAATTTTCTTTTTTTTCTCGAAAAAGTTGATACAATTTCGAAATTTCTATTTGAAAGTAATTAAATAATTTTACCTTTTCAATAATCAATTATTAATTATCTAATAATAATTATTATTAAAATAATAGTAATTATTATTGTATTTTCAATATTTTAATTTTCACCAATTTCGAAATTTTCATTCAAAAAGTAAAGAATTTTCAATTTTCACAAATTTTCTTCTTTTTTTCCTCTTGATACAATTTCGTAATTTCCATTTGAATGAAAAATTGTCCTTTTTTTTTGTTGCTGTGGAGAAGAAAAAAGAAATTCTCCTTTTAAGAGCTAAAGAGTGGGTGTAAATATATCGAGTTCATTAAAAGTATCTTTGTACCTTTATAGTCAGGTCAGAATTTGAATAGAAATTTTTTTTCTTCCTTTTTTTTTTGCATTGAAACGTGATTTAAGTTTTAGAAAAAAAAAAGAAATATATATATACGTAATTTACTTTGCACGAAGCAAGAATGAAGCGGGGCATTATTTGACACAAGAGATTTCTATAAGGGACACACGTAGAAATGCGGGGCTTTTAGCTTTAGACGTGTCACTTGGAGAGAGAGGAGATTATCCTGTATGCTTCTGACGTTTATAGCCCAAAGAACCATTTGAAAGATCACGCGATATATAATGCAAGTGCAACTGACTCTAGTCAATGCACGTGCTTCTAAATTCTTAAAAAAAAAAAAAAATAATAATTCATAATAAAAAAAGTTCCAAATTATTTTTATTTTAAGTAATTAAATTCATAAAAAAAATAATTAAACGTTTAAAAAGTAAATTATTTTTTTAATTATTTTTTGAAATTATTTTTCAATAAAAATTCAATTTCATTTTATTTAATATTATTTTTAATTTAATAAATAAATTTTCTAAATTATTTTTCAATAAAAATTCAATTTAATTTTATTTAATATTATTTTTAATTTAATAAATAATATTAAATAAAATTAAATTGAATTTTTATTGAAAAATAATTTAGAAAATTTATTTATTAAATTAAAAATAATATTAAATAAAATAAAATTGAATTTTTATTGAAAAATAATTTAGAAAATTTATTTTTAATTTAATAAAAAATTTTCTAAATTATTTTCATTCAAATTAATTAAATTAAAATTCTTTTTTTTCACTTTCGAATATTAATGACAATTAAAATAATTTAAATAAATGGTTTCTTTGATTGAAACAAATCGTTTTGCCTGCGGTAAAACACGATATGCTAGGAGAAATCGTAACTGTGTCATACTTTATCTATATCATTCGATCGGTGCTAAAATACTATGTATACATACAGCAAGGGGGAAACGGGGGGGGGTATATATATATAATGCTTTGAAAATTATAAGGAATAATTTATTACCAAGACAGCTCTGTCAATACATATAATATGAAATTACAAAAAGATTGCAATCACAATTTGAAATGAACTCAATTTCCTAAAATCAACTTTTCACTGTGATATTATTTTTTTTCAATTATTATTTTATAATTTAAAAAATTTTCATTGAAAGAAAATTATTTAAATATTTTTTTTTTTGCTTTAAACGAAATTTTTAACGAAAAAAAGTCTCTTGCAGTAATTTGTGATTCAGACAAAATGTGGAGCAGTTAGTTCTTGGGAATTAGTTCCTATAAATATTGAATCCCATGAGATTTATAATTTATCTCCTTCCTCTCATCCATAGGTATATATATATAAAGAATTGCGTGACTATGTTGTTAGAAGGTCGTGTGTTGTCTTACAAAAGAATCTACAGCTTCTCCATATAAATAAAATGATAAAATATTGTTTCGTACATTGTCACGTGACAATGAATTCTTAACGTATATGTGATACTCTCCGAAGTATATATACATAAAAAAAGTTTTTCATAACAAAAATGCAAATTTTATCTTGAAAAATATCCGCATTGTTTCTCTTTATTTTTTTTATACGAATAATTATTCATAATTGAAAGTGAATATTTAAAAATAATTTTTTATTATTTTTTCCAGGGTTGCGAGTGAGGAAAACAAAAAAATTATTTTTCGAAAACTATTCAAAAAAAGAGAAAATTAAATTAAAAATAAAATTTTCATTCCGTTTGATTACAGATTTGTGGTTAACAACGGTATTTCTGGTATATGTTTCGATTTTCCGGAAATGAAAATAGGTCATTTCTCGTATCGACAATTTAATTATATCTCGATTTAATTTATCGCAAGATTCACAAGGCAATTTCCATCTTTTGATCATTTCATTTAATTCTTGTTCTATTTTTCTTTTTATTTATTTATAGTTTTATTTATTATTTTATTTATTTATAGTTATTTATTATTTTATTTATTTTCTTCTTATTTATTATTTTATTTATTTTCTTCTTATTTATCTTTAAATTGATTTTTCAGAAAATTCGCATTTTTCCGCAATCGCAAAAAAAAAATGGGACCTCAGCAAAGATAAGACACAAATCAGACGTTGTTAACGAGATTACTCGTGGGAGCGGACGTAAAATGAACAGAAGAAGGGGGGGGGGAAAAAAAACGAAGGCGATTTGAAGTTCGCCATTGCTTTCAGCCGGAAGCCCTTGTGGCTTGAATTGGTGAAAATAGTTTCGAGGATTCTCTCTCTCTCTCACTCTCTTTTCTGCTCTTTTCGTTCTTTCTTTTTCTATTTCGCGAATGCGTTTCTGCGAAGTGATCTTAAACGAATATAACGGGTGCGACGACCCAAATAGAAAAAAGTTGATAAAAACAATAATTTTAATTTCTTATTGTTCAAAGTAAAATTTATCTCTTCCACGATTTTTTTATTCTCCTTTTTTTATTATTACTTATATTTTGTATTTCCACTTCTGTTTTCTAATTCCGAATTTAGATTAATTTATATTCATTTTCCGAGAAAGGATAATAAATCTTTCTCTCTCTCGAGAGAGAGATTTCCTAATCCAGGGCTTATTCTATGTTGGACAAATCTCAAAATCTAGCATAAAATTGTCAAAACTAGGTCGAGAGGCATTCCCTCATATAAACCAAGTGGAGTCTGAAACGGCCAGCGTGGATTTCATTAATTAAGCGCTTGTTCGTTCCACAACAGCGCTTCAAGCGTAATTGAATCTGCCCGCTAAAACGTTTGGGTAGGTCCTGAAACGTTGACGCTCCAATAAAAGTTAAAGTGCATTTCCCATTAACCACCCCCCTTTGACTTTTTAGAAAAAAAAAAAAATTTTCTTTTCTTTCCTTGACAAATTTCATTTGAAGACTCACGACTCAAAAAGCTTTTAAGATGATTCACTGAGAGGAATAGAAATTAAAATTGATTGCAATTTTTTTTTTTTTTTAATTGAAAATTATTCTTTTTTTTTGATTTCAGATAGTCTAGTATGTCTTGACAAGTAAAGAGTGGTTTTTCATCGGCGGTTTCGGCAGCCAAGGGTTCTCCAAAATGGCGGGAGGTCAACTTCCGGAACAGTATGCTGTAACACAACTGACGAGATTTTTTCACAATTTGCCCCATCTCAATGTATCTCTTCACTCCATCAATAATACATTTAATCATCGTTCTGAAATTTATCTCGAGGTAAGATTTATTGAAAATTTCTCATTTTTTTTTTTTAGTATTTAGTATTAAATAATTATTATTAAATTAAAAAATTTATTTTAAAATTGAAATTTAATTTAATTTTGTAAATAATTTGTTTTTTTGTTTATTTTTTTTGGGGGAGTGAAAAAGAGAAGCTTTGGAATGTATATAGCGAGATGGAGAAGTGAAGTGGCAGTGTGTTTGGTAGGTAGATGGATTCCAGAAGTACATGAGAATTCAGGCTATGTAACTGGAAAGCACAATAGCCAGGAAAGCTCAAACAATGCACAAAGACTTTGGCATAATGCACCCGGGGCAACATGCGGGGTTCGTGTGTCTATCCACACCCCCTGACAAACACAAGAAATTTTGTACACTCTCTCTCTCTCTCTTACTTTCTCGTTTACTTTTTTTTTTTTACCATTTCTTTTTTTTTCTGTCCGGAATTATTCTCTCATCTGCTCATCTCACAGCTTCACTTCTCACTCCATTCACGTGCGTACTTATATTCTTAGAAATTCGAATAAGTTTCTCAACAATATGGTAAATTTCATTTATTCAGTATCACGTCCAAAAAAATAATTCCTTTTCCCTTTTTTTGGAATTTTCAAGACAAAATTTTTGTGAATTTGAATTTTTCGTGTTTAAACTTCCTTTTTTTTTTTTAAATAAAAAATTTTGAATTTGTAACAAGTTATGTAGATTGAAATAACTTTTTCCCTTTGAAAAAATGCAAACTTGTTTTTTTTTTAACCTTTGTGTACAATTTTCTTCATCTCTGACTGAAATTCCTCTTTTTCTTGAATCGCGGCTTGGGAAGTTTTACCAAAGTTTCAGAGAATAGTGAAAATGTAGCCAAGTGGAAATTGTCTTTAAAGAAATGAATGCTCCAGTGACTCGTCAAGTGAAATAATTGCCTTTTTTTTCCAAAAGATTCTTTGTTGTTCTCTCTATATATATTTTTATAAAATTCAGTTTAGATTTCCTTTCGAATTCGAATTTATCGATATCGTGAAATACATCCGCATCCAAGTTCTTTGCCTTTGACCTCATCTGACTTATTCCCAACAGAGCAAGTGTGTCAGGCTTCACGTCAATTTATCTTTGTTCGATTACACCACACAAAGCGATACGCTTTCGATGAGCATTTCATCAGTCTTCAATTTCAGTGAAAGCCTCTTAGATTTTCGAATAAATAATAATGTCACTGTCATCAGAAAATAAATGATCGTTAATACAATTTTTTTTTCAGAGAATTCAAAAAAAACTATTATAATTATAATTTTAACATTTATATTCAAAAATAAATAATTTATTAAATATACTTGTTTTAGTATAGTAATTTTTTAGAATTTTTTATTTAAAAACTAATTAAAATTGTTTTTTTTTTTTGTCAACAGAGTCTCGGTATATTGGGAAGTATACCCGCTGCTTGGTTAATTTTCACCCTCTTGGTACTATTGGTTTATCTTGTGACAAGATGCTGCGACCGAAAGCCTCGTCACAGAAGATCTATAGCTCTTCTAAAATGTTCCCTAGCAATTTTTGCTCTATTTTGCTGTGGCGCTGTCGCCGTTGGTCTTTATGGAAATGACGACGTACACAATGGAATTATACAATTAATCACCGCGGTTAAACATATGAACGATTTAATTATGGATGCTGTCAATCAGGTAATATTTTTATAAAAAATTATAAATTTAAAACATATTTTATTTAAAAAAAACTATTTTTAATATGTATATGTATTTTAAAAAAAAATTATTAAAACAATATTCTTTGAAATTAATTTTCAGACCGACAAAATTGAGCAAACAGTGCAAAAACGAATCTTGCCACAAATGACTACACTTGAGGATGAGTTCGACGCTCCGGCTAATAATAAAACAATCTTGGATTTATTATTAAAAGCATTGGAGAGAATGAACCAAAATGCAACTATTGTTGTGAATCGTAGCTATGAAATTGGAGCGCCTTTGAATGGAGTTGGCCTAGCTTATATTATTTTACTTGTTGAAAGAATCGAACAATTAAGATGGCCTATTACAATGGCTGTGCTCAGCGTTCTTCTTATTCTATGCGTGGTTCTGCTGGTCGGAGTCGCGCGCCATTCCAGATGCGCTCTTATCACGTTAGTTTTTTATTTTTTATTATATCTCAAAATTAAATCGCTTTTCATTTTTTTATTTTTAGATTTCGACAAGAGAATTATAATTTTTAAAAAAAATTTTTGCAGATTTTCCGTTTTTGGCCTATTTGCGATAATAATCTCCTGGTTAATGACGTCAATGTATCTTGCGACATCAGTTGCTCTTGGCGATTTATGTATGTCACCAGATGGATTTTTCATATCAATGACAGCTGACAATCCAAATCCCGATGATTCAAAACTTGTTTCATATTATTTACAATGTGAAAGCACACTCAATAATCCATTTACACGAAAAGTTCGCGAAGGTATGAATGCAACGGATAACATGAGAAATAATTTGAAAACTATGAAATTATTGGCTGAACAACTTTATAAGGATCAACAATCAACAAAACTTGTCAGCATTAATAATGAAATCAATACTCTCGATAGACTTTGGACAGGATTACAGGCATTTCTTGATTGTAAACCATTTTATAAACAGTATACAACAGTTGTCAAGAGCCTCTGTCATTTAGGATTGTAAGTATTTTCTGTTTTTTTTAAATTTATTACAAATTTAATTGCAGGAAAAAGGAAAAAAGAAATTTTCTTTTTAGATACGGCCTCACGTTTATGTTAGCGGCGAGTCTTGCGGCTGGTTTTCTATTCACGATTCTTGTTTGGGTTGATTCGCACACTTGGATCTATATTAGAAAACGGTGAGTGTTTAAAAAGAATTTTAAACAAAATGAAAAAAAAATGGCTATAATTAATTTCGTTTTGTTATAGAAGGGATTACCACCAGGTCGAAGAGCAGGATCCATTTTTACCACCATCGGCAGCATCGCAGGCGATAGCAGCAAGGACTCTCCGTGGCCAAGGGTCGTACCCGCCTACAGCTCCTTCTCTTAATCCAAATATTCATGGCAATCATAATACTATTAAGCAGCCTCTCCTGCTAACGCCGCCCCCGCCGTCCTACGCTACTGCGACAGCTCGAGCACGCCAGCTGCACGAGAGCATGTTAAAGTTTGTGCATGAATCTTTTTTTATGTTTTCTTTCCTATATATATATATATAATTCACCATTTTATACGTAAAAGAGAGAAAAAGACTGTATGTAATTCAATATACCGATTATATTTCAATAACAATTTTCTCAATATTTACTCTCTTTTACGTATTCAATATTATTCAAGGTGATTAGAAATTTAAAAAAAAATTCTCAAATAAAATTAGTGTCTAATAAACTTTTCAAATCACCTTGTGATTAATAGGCAAAAATTAGTTTAATTCACAGATAGAGGATTTAAAAAATATTTTCATTATCTAACACGATTGTTGTGCCTTGCGTCTTAGACGTTCATATATAGTTTTTTTCGCTTCGATGATCTACACACTACAAAATAGATTTTTTGCTCGTTTTTTTTTCATTCAAATAATTTTTTAAATATTTCTCTTTCACTCTTTTTCTCTCAAAAAAAAAAGAAATTAAATATTGTTTGTGCTCGGCTATTAAACTCCCAGCTTTGAGTGTTTTTTAGAATATTCAATAACGAAGACGAAAAAATATACAATAGTCGTGTTGTAGATTAAATAATTAAAAATCAAATTTTAATTAAACTATGATAAATTTTTGTCTTCGTCGTCGGAAGAATTAGAATTTCATCTCATTTTTTTCAACACTAGAACTTTCTTTTTTTTTTAAATTTTATTATAAAACTCTTTTTTTTTTGAAAAAAATTATTAAATTTCAATTAAAAAGAACCTTCTAGTGTCTAAATCCACTGAAATCGAAAGGGGGGGGGAGAAATAAAAAGAGAAATACTGCAACTTTGTATTTTTAATTGATTTTTACAGAGGTGGGGGAATCAATGGAAGTGGAGGAGATCACAAAACTCAACATAATCAACACTCGACGAGCGGACGGAATGATCACCGCACTGGACTCGATCAACCTGGCCAGTACGCGACTTTAAGCAAACAATGCAAAACCCTCGAATCGAGTGATTTCTACTGAGGACACGCCCCCTCGGGACCGGGTAAGATTTTTTTGTTTACCATTCCCAATTTAATTTTTTTTGAAATAGTAATAAAAATAATAATAAATATAGGAAGAGAACCACCTTGGACTCCGAGTGTGGCATCATTCACCGGTACCCTGTCCCACAATTCACATGGACCCGCTCATTTGGCAACATTTCAAGATTCACGTAAAACACAAACATTGGATCCAAAAAATTTGGCAAATTTAAAACGTGGACCAACTCCAGCCTGGAATCAAAATCGACCATTACCACCAAATCCAATAAATCAACCAACATGGGAATTTGAATCACGTTCACAAACAAATATGAATCAATTTCGTTCATTAGTGAGAAATAAAGCGCCCAATATTCGTATACAAGATCAAGTTCAAGATCAAGTAAGAACATTGGATCGTAATTTTTCACGTGGACAATTTAATGATACTGGTCAAAATAATGCCGTTCCAAATATGTATGGTACGTATAATCGTGCTCATAATAGACAGGAGAAATCTGTTGTTCCAACATTGAGCCAGGTACAAGGAAGCGATCCAAATCTGTACGCTGTTACAGAATTGTAATTTTAATTTTTTTTTTATGTTTCTTTTCGGTAAATTAATACCAACAAAAAGCGAATAAACCAAAGATATTGATATAATATCTATTCTATGTTATACGGGTCTGGACAGATTATTTTTCGCCATAACGAGGGGGCGTAAAAAAAAAAAATCGGAAATGAAAAAGAGAATTTCTTTTTTGAAAAAAAAGGGGGGCGAATTGATTGTAGTTAATGTGTATCTGTTATCGTGTACAGTGGCCATTGTAAACTTTATCATTTTTCCTTTTGAAAGCGAATTCTACATGCGATCTAGTGCTTCTTTCTTTTTTTTTTCTCTCTTTATCAAAAGACTGCAGAAAAAAAAAAAATATTCTTCGACATTGACTCATTTGAGATTTACTGTGAGAATACCAAAAGACACTTTTTATACGATCTTTTTTACACTTTAATATCCGTAAAAAAATTTTTTGTAGTTCATTTTTCCGTTACTATATATATTAAACGTAAAAATAGTAAATATAAATATATAAATATATTATAAATATTGAAATATAAATATATATATACAGAATATTAAAATTATTGAGAAAAAAAAAACGAGTTACCGTACGATGCGACGAGTGATAACAGTATTTATTCTATTTGATAGAGTCGGAGAGTCAATCATTTTTGAAAAAAAAAACTCCTGAATACTGCCATTCCTCAGGCAATTACATTTTAAGTACAAAAAAAAACACTTGTTTTTTGAACTTGGATCTTTTCTATACTCTTTGTAAAAAAAAACGCTTTATTTAAAGCATGTACGAATTCGATTTAGTTTTCCAACGAACGGGACCTAAACGTTAAGAAAAAAAAAAAAAAAGTCTAAGGTCTTTCATCTAGACCTACTGGACTTCAATTTATCGTATATAAAAGACTTTGCAACGAAACTTGATGACTTTCTATTGATCTATTCCGCACATCACTCGGCCAATCTGTAAATACGTGAGGTAGTAAGCTAATGGCATAAATGTGTAAAGTGTGATAATTTAAAAAAAAAAAATCTAATCTAAATGTTGATGTTGTGAGACGCGCTCAAGAGGATTTCTTATTTAAAAAATTTTTTTAAAAAAAGAATCTTCATTATGAGACCAGAAAATATTCGACCTAAAATTACAGAAAAAATACCGCTTGCCAAACAACGGGGAAACACTTAGTGCCATTCCATTAAGATTTAAAAAAAAAAAAAAACAATAAATCATTTGTACACTTTTTATCTTTCATGCATTTCAATCGCACGTAGCGAGTGTATATCGTTTTGCACGCATGTTCGATTAATCCCCGTATGTGAGGTGCTTTCTCGATTTTATATAAAAAAAAAAAAAAAAAATGATTAATACTTAAGATTATTGATTAAAAAATTGTGAAAACGAAAAATTAATAATGGAGTCGCTTGAAATAGAAAAATTTCTGCGAATGGTCGAATTTTTGTACATAATTGTAATATTTATTGATGAGGGAAATAATTAGCGTAGAAAGGCAAATTGCATTTAGATAAGTTTATAAGTAGATAAAAATAATCGATGATAAGAAAAATTTACCTAGGGAAAAAAAAACAGATAACAAGACACACGTTTGCAAGTTGTGCGAGAATCAATTTTTAAGGAGTGCTTATATACCTGCGGACGATTTTTCCTAAGTGAGAATGTCCTAGTCAGACTATAAATTTCAGCCAGAACTCGAAACGATATTCTCGTTTCCAAAAAAAAAATCTGTATTCCAAATTAGGATTTTATTTTTATTCACGTTTTTAAAACGTTTGGAAATTAAAATTCAATTCTTAAATTTGGAATACTTATTTTTCATTTGCAAATTGCTTTTTTTAATTCAATAAAATAGTGTAAATTTGCAATTATTTTTATTTTTGTTTAAAAGAAAGATTGTTATTTTTTTTTTTATTTAAATTCAGTTTTAAGTTCTGGTTACAAGTATAATTGTTTTATATTTATGTTTAAGGCAAAAGGAAAGGAATCTCTTGCCAAATTTTTAATGCGAAACAAAAAATGGCTCAAATTTCGATAAAAAAAAATATATGTTGCTTTAGTTAATCTCTCAAATCTTTACGTGATTAATTATAAAAAATTATTAATAGATTATTACAATTTCAAATATTAGTAAGTTCGATGGTTTTTCCTTTTATTTAAATAAAAGGAAAAATCCCATGTGTCATTTATATCATTCGACTGAAAATTTTGAATCATATTTCATATTTCAAGAATTGTTATTGGAAATTAAAAATTTTTTAATTTATAAGACATACATTTTTATTTTCATGACAAAAAAAATTCCATTTATAAAATAAAAAATTATTATTATAATAAAAATTAAATTTTCTTTTTGTAATTGAAATATGAAATGTGACTCAGAATATAATTTATTAGAATCATCAAATTTATCCCAAAAGACTGCAAAATAAAAAATGCACAAACGGGATCAACGCAGCATTCTGTCAAAGAAGAAAAAAAAATGAAAAGGAAAAAAAAAAACAGAAAAGAATAATAGACGTAAAGGAAAACAATTTTGATAATAATTGAAAATAAGACCTCTTGCAGAGTGCAACTAGTGTTATCGAATCTCTTAAAAAATTAAGAAATAAAAATAAATAAAAATTAAATTAAGACCGATGCGTGGCCACCAATTAGCCAGTTCAGATAATTATATCTAGATTAAAAAGAGTCGCATCATTAAGTTTTAAATATAAAATAAGAGAAGAAAAATAAAACAGAAACTAGTATCTTAGACGATCAATGGTGAGAATTTCATTCCTATTGTTTATCCAATTTATACTGTCAATATAAAAAAAAAAAAAAAAATTCCAAAGCGCGTCACTTTTTCTCATAAGTACAAAATATATTTCATTTTTGTATCAGTTGTGAATGAGAGTAAGTGAGAGAGTGAATTGGCGTTTTTTTTATAGAAAAACAAAAAAAAAGCAGGGAGGGAAATGAATTTCGTACAATTAATATTTATAGAAATTTTAGGAAATAATTTATAAATTAAATTTGTGCCTAAATTATTGTTTTTTTTTCTCTTTCAATGAAATAACAAAATTGCGATAGCTTATTAAGTCAATTTTTGCAAATTCTTGCCTATTTATTTGCATTTCTCTCCCGTAAGCAGAAAATGTTAAATTAATAAAGTTCGTAGAGGCTATCAATAGAGTGTAAAATTTTGCGAAAATGTTTTATATATTTGAGCGTTTATTATAAAAAAAAATATTTAAGAAAAAAAAAAGCTGCGTAAAAATGCAAAAATTCGTTTTTTTTTCTTTTCTTTTTTTTTTTATTTTGCAAGTTATTGTGTCTAATTCCATACTCTGAACTTTATTCCTCCTCTTGTAATGGTAAATAAATATATATAATAAATACAATTTTGTGCTTTTTTTCCCCATAAATCTAAATTTTATTTACAATATTAAAAAATTGACTAATCAGTAAACATTTAAATTTAAATTTTTAAATATTTAAAATTAGTTAGTGAAATTTCCACCAATCAGAAAACTTTCTTCTTTCAATAATCAGCCAACTTCACAGATTACAGTTGCAGGTGTATAGAATAAACAAAAATCGTTAAATGGCAAATTAATATTTGTTTTCTAATAAAAAAGAATAAGAAAAGAAAAAAGAATTTATCGGAAATGTAAATAAAGTGAAAATTCTATTTAAAGAATTGGAAATTATCTCGATTTTTTGCTAATATGGTATGTAAATATTGTTTTAAATGTCAAAGAAAATTTGAATTATACACTAAAAATTAATAATATTAATTTATATTGATTAATTATTATTAATTAACAATGTTTTCTACTATTATTATTTATTTATAAAGAGAAATAATTGTATTTTTACCTCAGTGATAAATATTAATTACATAACCTAACTTTCTCCAATCAATATTTTTTCATACGCAATATATAAATATACGTAATTGCAATTAATTTCTTTTAATTATCACTAAAAATAATTGATTTGATTTATTTCAGGATAAAATAAGTTTTCTTAATTCAAATGATTCAGAGAAAATAAAATCTGATAAATTTCGATCATCGTCAGAGAAATCAAAATCAAAATTGAAAAAGAAACGAAAAAAGGAAAAACGAGAGAAAAAATTGAAAAAGAAGAAAAAGAAACATCGAAAATCAAGTTCCGATGAGGTAAAAATTTTTTAGAGCCATTTTCTATTTCTAAATATAGATATATATTAATTGTAAATTAAATTAAGAGTTCCAGTGACAGTGACGATGAGCAATGTGTAAAAAAAGTAATCGAATCAAATGAACAAGAATCATCATTTAAAAAACCCTTGGAGAGAGAAGAATGGATGAGTCTTCCTGGAATATTTCCAACAATTTCAAATGAAGGTAAAAGAGATAAAAATAAATCGAAAAAAAGTGAAGAGGAAAAATATATTCTCGATAGACCAGGTCAAAGTGGAAGGGAATTAAATCCATATTGGAAAGATGGTGGCACTGGTTTACCAGAAGAACAAAATGCCAGTAAAAATCAAACAATGGATATTAATTGGTTAAAAAAAAGTCTTCAAAGAGCAAAAGAAATGGCTAGTGAAAAAGGAATTCCTCTTGAACAAGTTGCAGCAGAAAGATGGGGGGTAAATATAAATTTTTTTCCAATTTATATAATTTGTAATTACTAATTATTTTTTTTTATCTATTTCAGTCTTTGGAAAATATTCTATCAATGATAAATGAAGCAGAAAAAATGAATTCAAAAAGTCATCGTAGATTTGATAAATTTTCCGATTCTCGTGATTATCATCACAAAAGACAACATAATTCAAATGAAAGATCAGCGTTTAAAAAGCCAAAAGCCGATGATAGTTATTCGTTTTCATCGTCGAAACGTGATTCAAGTGGTCCAAAAAAATGGCAGAAACCAGAAATACGTGAAAAATTATTAAAAGAAAAATATGAATCAATTGAAGCTTCTAAAAAGAATTTGTCATCCAATCATGAAATTAATTCAGACAATGAAATTCTTACTGAGGAAGAGATGAATAAATTGGGGGCTAAAATTGTAAAAGCCGAAATTATGGGCAATAATGTAAGTTTGTCAATTATTTGTTTATATATAAATAAAAAAATAAAAAAAAATTTTTATGTAGGAGCTGGCAGCTGAACTGAAACTTAAATTACAAAAAGCGAGAGAGACACGTAAATTGGAATCAACTAGAGACAAAGAGGAAACTGTTATTTTAACTCGAACTGATGCTAAAGGTGTGACGCGACCCTTGGAGCCAAGAGCGGATTCCTCAGACTCGAGTAAAGAAAGAAAACGAAAGAAAATGGTCCAAACTCATTCGAGCGGTGAAAGAGTTCGATATTTTGCCGACGATGACAAATTTTCATTGAACGAAATGGTAAATAATAATAATAAATTTAATAATTTAAATAATTTTAAAATTAACTTCTTTCAGTTTCATCATGAAAGAGGAAAATCGTCAAAGGAAGATGATGAAATGTTTGTTAAACTCGCCTCAAAGGTATATTATTTTTCTTATTACGATTCGATTTTTTTTCTTAACTTTTCTTTGTTTTTTTCTCTTAACTTTTCTTTTTCTTTTAGAGTGGAGATATGGATGAATTATTTGAGCAGAATATTACTTATAAAAATTCTGACGCTAAACAAGATGCACGTGATCGTTCGCAAGCAATAAAGGAGCATAAGAAGAAAATAAAAAGTTTGGAAAATTGTTTATGGTGTTTGGATTCACAGAGATTATTGAAGCACATGATTATTGCCGTTGGTTCACATGTTTATTTAAGTCTTCCTGCATATTCTTCCCTAACAACTGGACATTGTTTATTGTCGCCAATGAGTCATGTTCTTTGTCAAACGCAATTAGACGAGGATGTCTATGCAGAAATAAAAATTTTTAAAAAAACATTAACAAAAATGTTTGAAGTATACAAAAAAATTCCCGTATTTTTCGAAGTTGCTATGAATTTTCATTCTTATCCCCACATGCAAGTGATATGCGTTCCTTTATCATTGGACGAGGGAAATTTGGCACCTATGTATTTTAAGGTATTTTTTTTTTTTTACTTTTTAAAATTATAAAACTCGTTTTTCTAAATTCTTATAAATTTGCAGAAAGCATTACTGGAATGTGAATCAGAATGGTCGAATAATAAAAAAATTGTTGATCTCAAAGAAAAAGATATTCAACGAGCAATTCCAAAAGGTTTACCATATTTTGAAGTTGATTTTGGAAATCATTCTGGCTTTGCTCATGTAATTGAAAATGAAAAGTTATTTCCAAAAAATTTTGCTCAGGTAATTATAATTATATATTTTTTTTTTTAAAATATAAGGAAATTAAAAATTTTCTTTTCTTTACAGGAAATAATCGGTGGAATGTTAGACGTTGATTATAGTTTATGGCGTAAACCAAGACGAGAAAATTTTGAGGATCAAACAAAAAAAGTTATTGAATTTACAGAAATGTGGAAACCATACGATTTCACAGGAGGTAATAAATTGTAATAATAGTAATTTGTACAATTTGTTATACTAGTTATTGTATTAATAACTAAAAAAACATTAAATTGAAAGAAATGTCAATGACTTTTTTTTTTGTACAGTACTCGGAATTTATTTCATAAAACCTGATACAGGCCATCTTTCCAAATGTTGCTTTAAAACTGATGGAAACATTGAAAATACTTTAAATATCGATCCCATTTCATTAGGATCGATAATTTGACGATAACCAGCAATTATAGATTTTTTCTCATTATCTGTGGTATTTTGCAATAATTTTTGTAATCTCACTTCAATGCCCAATTGTTTTAAAAATATTTCCTGATTAATTGGTCCAAATGTTACTAATCGATTATTTTTTGTTGCTATTTTTTTTATTTGAGAAAAATCAACGTCAGCTGTTAAATCAGCTGTTCCTGGATTTAAAAGTGGATCATGTTGTTTATGTTCGTGAAATGAACGAAAAGTATCGGTTTTCTCGCCATTATGTCCATAGTCAATTATTAATCCAAATCCACCGTTTCGAATTAGAAAATTTGAAATTTTATCAATTATAACCATTGTTTGTGGACTTACCTCAACGTGTGATCTTGTTTCATTTTTCTGTAAAGAAATATTGTATTTTATTTATTTATTTTTTTTTGTACTTTAGAAGGAGATGAAAATTTACCTCAAGATACAAATTGCTGGCTAATGTGGCTCCTTTTGTTTGAACGTATCGAAATTTTTCTTGTTTAGAAGAATTTGAATCAATATCAATTAGTATTTCATGCCATCCTTTATTAGATTTCTGAAAATAATAATATTTTAATTAAAGAAAATAAAATATATTTTTGAAATTTTTTTTAAAATACCTGAAATTTATGAATTGGTAGAGCGTCGAAAAATTCGTGTGCTAAAATTACACTGAATGATTGTGGAATATCATTGACGGAATAATACCAAAATACTTTTATTCCATCTTTTGTGACACCTTGTTTATAAGGTCCGATAGCATTTTTTATTTTTGAATTTATATTCGGTGTTAATTCCTCACAAGAAGTGCATAAATTTTTTGCTTGAATTTCCGAAAGTTTGGGACTAATTTCAACTAAATGCAACGATATTTTATCAGCAGAACGAAGCTGTCTGAAAACCTAAAATTATTCTTAATTACAAATATAATCAATATTAATTTTATATATTATTTACCCTGAGAATATCATTGGATAATGTTCCTCTTCCGGGTCCTAATTCAACAAGCTGAAAAGGTTTATTACTAATTTTTCTCGATTCGTGTAATATCCAAACACCAATCATCTAAAAAAAAAACATCTCTCTTTTTTTTTACAAACAATAATAATTAAAATTCATAACATTTATTTCTTATTTACCTCACCAAAAAGTTGACTAATTTCCGGCGAAGTAATAAAATCTCCTTTTTCACCAAAAACATCTTTTTTCATATAATAACCATCAATTGGATTTGTTAATACTTCCTTCATATAATCAGCTACACTTATTGGTCCGCATGTTAATATTTTTGAATAAAGTTGTTTATAAAGATTCGATTTATCATTCCAATGTAATTTCGAAGAATTATTTTCTGTTACACTAGAACTTTGTCGAATTAATTTTTTTATTGTTGTCTTAAATTGTTTAGTAACATTAATAATTGGCAGAAACTTTAACATTATTACAAACAATTGAAAGTGTAAATATTTACATGGATCAGCTGCTTAAATGTTCGTCTGCTTGCGCATGCGCAAATTCATTTTTTAAAATAAAAAATACAAAAAAATTTGTTAAATATTCAAATTATACACTATAAATGACATTTATTGAATTATAAATTAATGAAAAATACTTAAAAATTATATTTTCTATTACTAAACTATTATTATTTAATTAATTATATTATTAATTAATTATTATCAATTAAAAACACAATTTTCTAGATTTTCGGTTTTTTTTATTTAAGATTTCACAGAAAAAAAAAAAATGTAAACTTATATCGAGAATTTTTTATTTTATTTTACTTGGTAACAATACTAAAAAGTGAACATTTAATCAATTATAATTGCAAGTAATTACAATTTTTTATAATTATTTTATATATATATGCTTCTTTTCTACGTTCTACGCAAATTGAGTCTTAATTTGAAAAAGTCTTGTAAATTATTAATTGAATAAAGCATATATATATATATATTATGTATTCGAAGATAATAAAGTTTCTCTTGTATTAATATTAATTGCGTGTTAAACAATGCAAAAACGTCAATATTTTTTTTTATAATACATTTCTAAATTAATAATCTAATAATTCTAATTATCTATAAAATAAATATATTTCTAATAAATTTTGCATTGCTTTTTTGTGTTTTAATATTATTCTATTGTTTTTTATTTTTTTATTTTGGACTCTCTATGCTTGCATTACCCAAATCAGTCATTTTTGGATATTTTATTTTCTTTTTATCCAATTCATCCTGAGCCCATAAAATAAGTTTTAATAAATTATTCAGTCTTGGACTTGTTAGTTCTCTGTGCTCGGTTTTTAATATAGCTGCATTCAATTCGCTTGCGATCTAAAAAAAAAGAAAATTTAAAAATATCCTTTTTTTTAATAATTGAGTGAAAAAAATACCTTTTGTCTATGAGTTGGATGCAATAAATCACTGAAAGGACTTTTGTGTGGTTCATCAAATGCCAATAGAGCCAATGTTCTCTCTAATTCGCTTAATATATTATTATCTGATTCACCAGCTTCACTTAATTGTTCCTGGGCAAATTGTAAAGCTTCCTCAATACGACCAGTGCGTATCAATTCAATGAGATGTAATTGTTGAAGATGAAAATAAAGATATCTATCATTGTCCAATAATTCTGGATGTAATTGATTAACCAAATCTGTAGCTTCTTGAATTCTTCCATTTTGAATTGCATCACGAATTCGAATTCTGTCATCCATTGAATTTAATTCAACTGTTGGACCAACGCCAGATTCTTGTTGAAATTTTTCCGCTGCTTCTTTAAATCCTTCTACAAATTTCAAGAAAAAAAAAAAAAAATTTAAATAAAATTAATTTCTATGTTAGAAATATCAAAAATTATAAGAATTTGAATATTTAAAATAATCGCACAGTCATTGAAATTTGAGGTTATAATTTTTTTTGTTATCAATATTATTGATAAATAACAATAAAACTGAAAACTCACCAGTAACTAAATAATTCATAATTAAATTATTCATTGATGTTCTTTGTATATGTGAACCTTCCTCGAGTTTTGCGATCCATTCATCTTTAGAAACACCATCCTGTTTCTCGGAGAAACTCATTTTTCACCCAAAATTGAACAATCGTCATAAACTTGTCTAAAATAATAAATAATAGAAAATTATTTACCTTTTATTATAATTCTATTGAATTAAAGTGGTCATTCAATGAAACTTGTTATTGAAATAATGTTTATTTGTCAAAGCATTATCTGAGATAATTGACAGATTGCTGAGCGAGAGAAAATATTATATATATACACACAATAATTCGGAATTTGTAAACTTAGAAGAAAATATATTTTATTTACTGTTAGTGTTTATAATTATGATGTTGCAGATACTTTTCACTTGCGGTACGTTTATTTTTTTTTTTTTAAATTACAATGATTACAATTTATACATCAATTTGATATTTTTTTTTTTTTATTGTTGTTTATGACAATTTATGGTTAGAGGGGACCAGAGATGGGTAGGTATAGGATAAAATTACCTACACTTGGTAAAGTAGGTAAAATACGATTGTAACGCCATGTATACATTGTGTTGGAAATTGTAAACAGTATGACATTTGTTCAACAATGGCTGCCGAAACAGGACGTGTTTTTGTTTATGGAGGAAAAGGAGCTCTTGGATCTTCTTGTGTTTCTTTATTTAAATCAAAAAAATGGGTAAGTTTTTATTATTAAATTATATATTTTTTTTAATGTTTTATCTAAAATTTAATTATTATTGATTGAAATTCATCTCATTGAACCAACCACTTGTTGGAATGTTGAAAAGGAACGGTGTTTAAATTAATCAATAATATCCTTTCTAATTTTACAAGGTTACAACAATTATTAGAAAGTACATTTATCTTAAAATAGCACTTGGTATTTAAAAACAATTTGTAAACTTAATTAATGTGATTTTAATATTATTTACAGGGTATCTACTTCATTTGCCGGTTAGAGGTTATGAGGTTATCATTTTTTTTTAGAATATCTCTGAGGAAATTTGGTTTATACTTCTTTTTTTAAATTAATATCTGTCAAATTTAGAAAAAAATATTTTATATTTAAAAACTAATTTTTGCTCCTCATGGTTATTGATTTTTGATAAAAAATTACATTTTTTTTTAAAAATAACTATTTAAGATAAATGGAAAAATATTTTTTTAATATTATAAACTCCTTAGAGAACCTTAACCCCATTATATATTATAATTACTTTTAAATGTATGATTTTAACGAAACCAGATCACTTTCTATTATCAATAGTGTGAAATATTGAGTAATAACGATTTATAAAAGTAATCTAAGATTTATTTGTTATTCAAGGAATTTATAGTTTCATTAATTGTTTAGAAAATTGTTTTAAAATAGCGAAATTCAAGATAATTTTATTATCTTAGATTTTCAAAAAAAAAATGTTAAATTTTTTCAATGAATCGATTTTTTGTATCGGAATATACAAAATCGAAAACAATTATCTACTTTCTTTTTTTAATGAAATAATTTTGTTATTAACTGAAAATTAACGTTCTATTTTTTAATACAATAATAATTAATCTTTAATGTTAAATTTATATTTTTTTTTTTTAATGAAAATTAATTAACATTTTTTTTAGTGGGTTGGTTCGATCGATATAAAATCAAATGATGAGGCTGACGATAATGTGATTGTAAAATTGGGTCAATCTTGGACAGAGCAGGTGATGTGAAATTTTTTAAAAATTATATAGAAAAAAAAAGATTATTTTTTTTTTAATATAGAAAAATATTTCTTTTTTTTGTCCAGCAAGAAGATATTTTAAATCAAGTCTCAAAATCTTTGAATGGAAATAAAATCGATGGAATAATTTGTGTTGCTGGTGGTTGGGCGGGTGGAAATGCAGCTAATAAAGATTTTATTAAAAATTGCGATTTAATGTGGAATCAAAGTGTTTGGAGTTCTTGTATTGCGTCAAATATTGCTTCTCAACATTTGAAAGAAGGTGGATTTTTATCATTGACAGGCGCTAAAGCTGCTTTAGAAGGAACTCCAGGTAATTTAATATTTTTTAAATATTTCTATTATAAAAAAAAAAATTTTTTTTTAATTTAATTTATTTGTGAAAAATTTGACGATATTTTTTTTTTTAGGGATGATTGGATATGGAATGGCTAAAGCGGCAGTTCATCAGCTTACGAAATCTTTAGCATCCGAGGGAAGTGGATTGCCTTCAGGATGTTTGGTCGCTTCTATTTTACCTGTGACTTTAGACACACCAATGAATAGAAAATGGATGCCAAAAGCTGACACCACAACCTGGACTCCACTGGAATTTATTTCCAAGTTAGTAATTTTATTATAATTTTAATTTACATTCAGTAAGATTTAATTTAAATTTTTTAAATTAAATATTAATTTGTTTAATTACAAATTTATTTAATTACTTTTTCGTGTACAGTATGTTTTGGGAATGGTCACAAAATGAGAAACGACCATCTAATGGAAGTCTTTTGCAATTGGTAACAAAGGATAATAAAACTGAAGTAATTCCAGCCTAAGAGAATATCACAACATCGAAATCGTGAGAAAAGAAAAAAAAGTTCTAAATAGAAGGGATCAAACAATATAATGTTTAACAAGTTCATTTAATTATTGAAATAGTTTTTTTTACGTAACTATATAATTATTGCAGTATTTCGAAAATTATAATTTACTGTGTGAATGTTCAGTGATCAATTTTCAAAACGAATCTCTAATGCATTTAATTAATTAATTGAATTTTATGACAATAAAAAAAAGATTGTTAATATATTTGAATATTATTTAGAATAAATTTGTTCTTAATCAATAATTGTAAGAATTTTTAATTAATATTTTAATTTTTATTATAATTTTTTTTATAATAGAAAAAGAAATAAAATATCAACGAAAAGGATATATCAGTGAAAAATTATGATTTTTAAAAAATTTAAATTAGCCGTTTTATTTTAATTGAAATTGTATTTATATGTATATAATTGACGACTAGATTTGAAAGTATTTCAGATGGACCAGTCTTCATATATCTTAACTGTAAGACAGGTTGATGGACTTGGAACCTTTCTTGTTTGTCCCCACCATGTTTATAAAGAACAACTGGATCTTCTGATGTGACAACAACCTTGGATTGAAAATCCTATAGATCAGTCTCCAAAGTACCATCGAGAGAATTTTTTATTACTACACTCATGTAAGTTGATTTTTAATCCATTAATTTTATTATTACAAATTTTTTAGTCAATTTTTTTTTTATTTCCAATATTATTGACCCTTTTGTTATATTAATTGTTGTTAATTAACTTTTCCTATTTTTACATTATTTTATTTTATTTTATTTTTATTATTATTTTATTTTTATCATTTTTTATTTTTATTATTATTTTATTTTTATCATTTTTTATTTTTATTAATATTTATTTATCTTTATTTCTTTATTTATAAAGAATTTTTGTTATTTTTCTCGATGAAAGAAAATCGTTCCTCAAAAATATCGATTTAAATGTAATTGAACCATATAAAATAAAACTCATAATCAGAACAAGTGAACTTTGTACCATTTCGAACAATACTGATATTTATCGTTTGTAAATGTACCTAAATACTTATTTCAATGAACATTAATTTCTATTGTTTGAAAATGGTTATTTTTATATTAATAGTTTTATTTTGTTCCTGGTAACGTTGAACGAAAAAAAAAAAAATGTTCTTGAATTTATTATTCTTTAACTGCAAATTGTAATTACTAGGTAATAAGTACATAATATTCATTTTGCAAATAACTTCCTTCCGCTGTATCGTTAATTAATAATAGATCGAAATTCTAATTGCAAAATTGTGAAAAACAAATTTTAAAAAATAGAAAAATAATTGGAAAATAAAAATTTCTTCTAAAAAACATTTTGCAATTATATAAATGAATAATATTGATAATGAGGAAAAACACTTTTCCAAACAACTAATTAATTTATTTTGTTTTGCTAATAAGCTTACAAAGCAAGTAAGTTAAGGAAAGTTGATTTAACTTTGTAGCCGTTTTTTCGCAATAAAAGCCTTTAAAGCAACAATAATATGTCAATTATTGAGAAACATTATTTTAATGTACTTTGCTTCATTGAGATCAATTAAATAATATTGACCTTAAATTAATAGGCTAGAATAAATTAATCTTTTATTTTCATTAAATTACAAATTTTAGCCTTCAAATTTACATTTTTTATAATAAAAAATTGATTTTAACAACAAAAAATTTGACTTATCGCAAGACATAATTGACCTCTTTCTCAGTATTGTTGAATGTCAATTCAATATTCAGAAAAAAAATAATAGAAAATTTTTCATTTAAAAATAAAAAATTTACTTATAAAAATCTTCAAATTTCAATCTAATTCCAAAATTTCGAAATTGAATTTGTATATCAATTGTATGCTAATGAAATTAGTCAAGACTTTTTAATTAAACTTCAATGCGGAAGCTCGTATTGATATTAAAAGAAAAACAATTTTAAAAAAATTTCATCTCTAAAGAATAGTTCTAAAAATAAATAATAAATAATTGTACCATTATTATTTTCCTCTATATATATATAAATGCATAATTTTTCGAATAGATGAAAAAGTAGAAACTTTGTCGATTAATATAATTGTTGCGCAAATTCCATTTGATAAAATATGATTTGATAACCGAATATATTTCGAGGTAAATAAATCATGTTATTCTGAAAAGACAGATATATTTGTTATAAACCAATCTATTTGACCACTGATTCAGTTTTTTTTTTTTTTTTACAGATTGCGTAACAATTTGTTTCATATTCTACCCTATCAAAAGTTATCGAGCAGTCGTCTTCAATTATTGTTGGAAGTGGGATCGAAAATTTGATTCGTGTTAAATAGAACTTTGTACACATATACAAATAAAACATCATGAATTCAATTATTAAAAACATTTCTCCCAAGGTAAGTTATTATTTTTATTTTAAAAAAAAAATTCATTAGGTTCTTTTTTTTCCATAAAATATATTTTTTTTTCTCTATTGAAAAAAAAACGTGGACATTTAAACAATGAGAACTCATTTGTAAAAATTACCAAAAATAATTCATGAAAATTTAATTTCATTTAAAAAAATATTTTATAAAAATTTTCTATTTATTCTTTCGTTAAATTAAGAAATTATTATCTATTTGTCTAGATATTTGCCAGTCACTGTGGAAACAGAATTCATTACATTTTTTTTTGTTTGTTATTAATGTTATATTATTTATTCAATTATATAATATAAAAAATATAAATTTCTCTTTTTGTTTTATTTTTTTTTAAATAAATCAAAGGATTTAATAAATATATGTATTTTTAACGGTCTTTCCAACACATTATTATTTAAATGACCAGATTGTAATTTATTCATTTTAAAAAAAAATTCTGAAAGCAATATATCATTTTATCGTCTTCAAAACCCATAATTAAAGCTGGTTTTATTGAGTTCTATTTATAAGTGTATAAAATCAGTTTAAGAGTGAAACCGTTCACTTTATAAAAGAGTGAATGCAAACCACTCCCATTTTTTCGTTTAATAATTTTCGTTCCAAAAGTAGAATCAAAGAAAGCAAAACAAGTTATTTGAATTCAGAAAAAGAATTTTATATAAAAATAAAAATTATATGAGAAATAATAATGATAAATAAAAATATTAAATAATATTTTTTAAAGAATTTGCGGAATTAGTATTTCTTTTTTGATAATTATCCAACTGATAGCAAATTATTATTTATTATTAAGATAATTATTATTTACGTCAATAATTAAAAATCCATATGTTATTATGTTTTTAAAAACAATTATCATATTTTGTGTTCTCTTGTTCTTAATGGATAATTATTTTTTTTTTTTTTTTTGCAGATACTGAGAAAAATAATGCAAAGTTCACAGATGCATTTAACAGCATCTTTAAGTCAATGTCCCGGACCTTTGACCCAATACACGGACGATGAAGTTATGATGAGGGATTCAGGTAAGATTTTAAATAAAAATTTAAAAAATTCAATTTTTTTTTGTATATAGAAAAATGTTCTAATTTTAAAAAAATTGAGCATTTAATTTAGTGAAATCCAATGGAAATTATCTAATTTATTTTATTTATTATAGTTGCGAAATTAAGTAAAGAACAAATTGAACCACTTGTGAAGAAAATGGAAAAGGAAGGAAAACTTGATGATAAACTTGTTAAAACTCTATTTGAAAATGGGGTAAAAAAATAGAATTTCATTGTTGTAAATATTTTTGTAAAATATAAATTAATATTAAAATTTGGTTTTTTTTTTACAGTTAATGGGAATGCAAGTGCCAGCGGAATATGGAGGCACTGAAAGTACATTTATGTCAACAATTTTAGCAGTCGAGGAATTAGCAAAAGTTGATGGATCTGTTGCCGCATTTGTTGATATTCACAATACTCTAGTCAATTCATTAGTTATAAAAGTAGCTTCACATGAACAAAAAGTTAAATATTTAACGAGATTAGCTCAAACAGATGTAAGTTATCAAAAATTATAAAAAAAATTAATTTTTTATAATAAATCAAATATAAATAAAATGTTATTTTTCAGGTTGGCAGTTTTTGTTTGACAGAACCCAGTTCAGGATCAGATGCATTTTCTCTTAAGACTGTTGCAAAAAAAGATGGAAACAATTATATTATTAATGGATCAAAAATGTGGATTTCAAATTCTGATGTCGCTGGAATTTTTGTTGTATTTGCCAATGCAAATCCATCAGATGTAAGATTTTCTTTCAATTGATCATTTAAAATTCGTAAAGGTATTTTACTTCCTAAAAAACGTTTTTTTTTCAAATTAAGGGATACAGAGGAATCACTGCCTTTATAATGGACAGAAATTCGCCAGGTGTGACTGTCGCCAAACCTGAAGATAAATTGGGTATAAAAGCATCAGGAACTTGTATGGTTCATTTTGAAAATGTCAAAGTAAGTGAATTTTAATTGTAATTAAAATTTTTAAATTGCGATTCATTTTATTGTTTTCTTTTTCCAGGTTCCAGAAGAAAATATATTAGGAGAATTCGGAAAAGGATATAAATATGCAGCGGGATTTTTAAATGAAGGTAGAATTGGAATTGGAGCACAAATGATTGGAATTGCACAGGGTTGTTTGGATGCAACAATTCCTTATACATTGGAACGAAAACAATTTGGAAATGATATTTTTTCATTTCAGGTAATAAATTGATTCTAAATTGAAAATCAAAATCATTCGTAAAAAATTGAGATCAATTTTTTTTTGTTTAGTCGATGCAACATCAAATCGCACAGGTCGCAACAGAATTAGAAAGTGCAAGATTATTAGTTTATAATGCTGCAAGAATGGTTGATGCAAATCAAGATGTTATGAAAGAAGCAGCGATGGCAAAATTATTTTCATCAGGTATTTTTTTTTAAATTATTCTTATTTTTACGAAAATTGTGTTTTATTACTGTTTTTTTTTTTCTAAATCATATTCTAGAAACTGCACTGAAAGTGACAGCAAAATGTATTGACTTTATGGGTGGTGTTGGATTTACAACAGATTTCCCTCAGGAAAAATTCTTTAGAGATTGTAAAATTGGAACAATTTATGAAGGCACAAGTAATATGCAATTATCAACTATTGCCAAATGTATCCGAAAACAATATTCGTAATTAATTTTTTCTAAATTACGATAATTATATAATTAAAATTCCTGAAAAATTAATATTTTTTGGGAAATTATATGAGCCATTAAACAAAAGTATTATTAAAATATTCCTCTAGACTTCATGATAATCAAATTATCAAGAGAAAAAAAATATATATGAACTATATATATTTTATAAAAGGAATTGTAAATTTTAAATCGAATTTTTCAGATAATTTTTTTTCTAATGTAGAGAAATTTTAATGAGATTTTTTAAATATAAAAAAAAATTTAACTTTTTTAATAAAAAATAATAATTTTTTAAAAATAAAATATGTTAAATTATGTAAATATGATTAAAATTAATTTTTTTTTGTGAATTTTTCTATTTTATGTTATTACTCATTCTATCTATCATCTGTATTTATACAAGTGGATAATTTTTTATTTTAATTACCTTAAAATATTAAGCGTCTATTGATTTAAAAAAAAAAATTTTATTGATTTAATAGAATTGATAAATTTCGAGCAACTGATAATATTTCTATTCAAATAAAAATTGAATAAAATTGAATTAAAAATACAATTTAATTTACATATTAACACTATTGTTTGATATCAAGAATTAAAGTTTAGAATAAAATTTCTTTTAATTAAAGGAATTGAATAATTTTCATTTCAAAATTTGTTTTTAATTGAAAAAAGGAGAATAAAAATTAATTTTACATACATGTGATTAATATACTGATAATAAAAAAATTCCTCTAATAATAATTTTCACATTACTTTTTTTTTTTAGTGTCATACCTCCTTAGTTTTCTTATTTTTCACTTTTTGACTGTGGTTTAACAGTTGTTTCGTCTTCTGCGGGTTTCTCATCCGCAGGATTTTTAGATTCCTCTGGTTGAGTGCTGTTCATTGGTTTTATTGGTTTTGCTGTTGTAACAGGTTTCATTGTAGTTGCAGTTTTATTTGAGGAATCTGAAAAATATTTGCAATTTTTACATTACATAAATTTGTAAATAAAAATCGAATATATTGAAAATAGAAAATTATACCTGAGCCACAAAAGAATTTTATAAGTGAATTTACAAAGATATCATCATCATCATCATCATCGTCCTCATCTTCTTCATCATCTTCATCATCATTTTTTTTTTTATTATCATCATCCTCATCATCATCAAACCAATCATTCAAATAATCTTTTTCATCATAATCTTTATCACTATTAAAATCAATCCAAAAAGCTTTGCCCTCAAAAATTAAAAATGCCGAAACACAAAGAAAAATTGCAAATTTCATTTTGTCAAAATAAAAAAGAAATTAAAATTTTTTTTTCGATGTTTATTGTAATAGAACTATTCAGCGAATGTGTCAAAAATTATCTTCATTTACTCATTAAATATCCTCATTTGCTTATTTTTAGTTTTCATTAATTCAAGGTAAATTTATTCTTTTGATATTTACTTAAGATGCTTGAAGATAAATAATAAAGTAAATTCGTTTTGAAACATACATGAAAAATTAATTTATCAACTTTTTTTTTAAAACGTGCGTATAATACTCATTACCCGTACACTTGCGATTAAAATTAAATGTATCTGTGTCATGATTAGTTTCGAGTTTTATTTGTACAAAATTCAAGGAAACAAAAATAACAAAGTTTTATTGAAATATTTTTTTCTCTCTATAACAATAAAAATGAACAATAGATGAGGACAAAAAAAAAAAAAAGTTACTCATTTAATGCGCATTAAAGTTGTTTTATGAGAATGTATTTGTTAAAAAATTTGAATGAATAAATAATTTTATTTAAATATTTACTCTGGAAAGTAAAAAATAAAATAAAATAAAATTTTTAATAAAATAGAATATTAATAATATAATCAATGAACTTTAAAACGATTTCAGATACGAAAAAATATAAATTTTATTCGGATATCATTGTTTTTCATTCTGCTTAAATTCTAACAGAATAAAATAATAATTAATAATAATAATAATAATAATAATAATTGTTAATTGGCCAACCATCGTGGGTAAGTATATATGTTGTAACACAGAATAAAAAATTAATAGAATATACGATGGTTTTTTTTTTTTTAAGGATACAACAGAGTATGTACAACGTTATAGTATATATACAAAATTGAAGGATTAATTAAATTCTAATTTCTATACCCAGCAACGTTTAACAATAAAATTTTCGAAATAATTTTTTTTTCAATCCAGCTGCTTTTTTTTTATTATAAGCTTAATTATATATATACTATTCATCGACGTATGTTCAGTCTTGTATTCCAAAATAAATACTATTTTTTTTTTTTTTTAACAACGCCAATCATCACATTTTTTTTTTGCCTGAATAGACGAAGAGATGTTTTACATTTGCAGAATTTGAAATTTCTAAAAGCGCAGAATTAAAACAACTTTCTTCATTCTTCATATAACATTTTGCAGAATGATTAAAAAAAATTTTCTTCTTTAAACGTTTAAATTCTCTATTTTTTTTATTACTTTAGTTTTTTATATATATGTAAATATCTACATTGAAAAATGATGAAATTATATATTTACATTTCTTATTAAATGAATACGTTATCTTTATAACAAAACTAAATTTTATATTGACGATAAAAGCAAAAAATATTGTTTATTTAATAAATATTCAAATTTGGAAGCAAATAAGTATATTTAGCGAAGGAGAAAATATTTTAGTTTGAAATAACGAAAATATAGAAATAGAGTATTAACAGGTGAAATTGTAAAATAATTGAAAGTATTAAATAATTTTTTCAAAAACTAAATTGAATTCACCAAATTTTCAATAATTAAAACAAAAAAAATATAAATAGTAAAACAATTGTTTTAACGTTAAAAAATAATTTTTTTTTTTCAATAACCGAAAGATAATAAATTTTTAGTGATTGTCGAGTGTGTATGAATTTTTTCTCTTTTATAATCATAACTTATTATTTTTTTTTTCCACCTAACTTCATTATTATAAAAAACAAATAAATAATAATCACTCTGTTATAAAATAGGCACATTTCTTTTTTTTTTAGATAATTAAATGAATTTCTCATCTAGATTAAAAAAAATTGTTATCGGAGAAATAGACGCAAAATAATATTAATTGTTACCAAGCGTCTGTCATGTTACTGGAATATAAAAATTAATTTATGCTTTGACCATTTTCTAGTCTACAATATAATTAGCACCACAATATTCCAATAATTAATTGTAAAAGAAAAAAACAAAAATTATATAGAAAACAATTTTTAAAAATTTTCTGAATTTTTAAAAATAATCAATGAAATGCTTATTCAATAAACAAATACACAATTACGACAGACGTTAGTATAACATTTCAATAGAACAATATATTATTTACCTCATTTAATTTTTTTATGCGCGAATAGAGAAACAAAAATCTGTAAAATATTGCAACAAGCCTACGTTATCTAGTCAAAATTACTATTTACAACTTGTATTTTTTTTCTTTTTTACAAAAAAAGTCCAAGTCCAGAAATTAATTTTTTTTGGACGGACAAAATTTTTTCAATTAAATTGCAAATTAATTCACCTTTTTTTTGAGCAAAATTAAAAAATTTTGATATTAAATTTCGTAAAATGGAAAAAGATAATTTTTTTTTACATACTTACAGGCGTTGAAATGATTTTTTTTTCTACTTCTCTTGTTTTTGGGATTCTCATATTATATGAGAAAAAAAAACACATTAAAATAAAAGTGCTTAAACACTTTTTTGAGCACCAAAATTTTTTCATTGCAACATTTTTTGCAACAAAAAAAAGGATATTTCTTTCTTTTTTTTTTTTTGTCTTAAAAAAAAGGTTTTAAACCAGATTTAATCAATCGGGCATGTCTATGGAGACTATAGGCACTACGGGTTTTGTTAGGTCGATTTTCTTTATGTGTTTTTCACTTTTTTCAGAAACCATCGGCTCAGACGGCGGTTGATCATGATCGTTTCGCGATTGATAAGAAATATTGCCGTATTCTTGAAGCAATGGACATAGGCCCAAAAGAAAGTGGCAAAAATCTTTTCTTATTCCAAACCACCCTGAAAAAAGAAACAATTTTTTATATTGAAAATTCTTTTTACAGCTGAAATTATTTTTATTTTAACTTACATTTATTGCCACCCTTTGCTCCAAAAGACATACAAATTAGTGTCATATAAGAAAATATCAAAGGCGTTGCAACTGTTGTATAATGCAACGAAATATCACCATCAAGTTTATTTGCCAATAGAACCTATAATATTAAAAATTAAATTTATAAATTAAAATTGAAAAATAGAAAAAAAAGAAAAATAATTACTTACTTGAAAGACTAAAATGGGAACTACAAGAAATGTATATGCAATAGCAGAATTTAACGATGTACGTCTTTGACGTGCATTAATTTGTGGTGTTCTTAATAAAACGGCAGCAAATACAATAGCATATAAAACAGCAACTAATGATAAACATAATAATGCCCAAAGGGGCACGAACACAACCTCCCAGCTCCATGTAATAAAATTATCCAGTCTCAATGCCAAGAAAATAAATTGTAATACATTGACTGCACAAAAAAGTTCAAGCTCAAAAGAACGATCATGTTTCACAGCCCAAATACATACCTAGAAAAAGAATTTTTTTAATTAATTAATTATTTTAATAAAAAAAATAAATAAATTTTTAAATACTCACAGCTATAGATACAATGGAGATAAAAATCAATGGTATAAACACAAGTATCCACAAGTGTCTTTCTGATTCTAATTTATCGCATACTAATAATTCGAACATTAACAAAATTAAATGCAATGCAAGAGTGATTAACATTGCTTTATAATGTACATAGGCATCTCCTTCTAATCTCGCGTGTGGATGTCTCCACCAAACATAACTTCCAACTGTTGCTCCTAAAATTACCATACTTTTCCAAAACCATATTGGACTGAATACAGACCAATAACTCCATTCAATGTAGCCGTCAAGTCGCAATGCAAATAATAATGTAAATACCATTAAACATGTATGTACCAAAAATTTGCTGAAATTGAAATAAAAAAACAAAATCAGTAAATAACATAAATAAACATAACTAAACTTAAAAATTATTTTATAATTAGAAAAAAAAAATTGTTAATCGTAAAAAATAAGACTTTCTTTAACCTAAAAATCAAAAATTTTTTCTGAAAAAAAATTCTCAAGCAAAGTAATTCAATAATTCAGAATATATATATATATATATATAGAAAAAAAAGTGAATCGTCATGAAATAAAAAACATAAAAACATCTCACGAGTTCTATTTATAAAGTTGTTACAACAAAAAGAATGTTATTTTAATAATCATATATTTTCATATTCAAGTATTATCGTAACATTAAATTTAATAGAAAATAAAACTAATTATAATACCTTGGATTAAAATCTTGAAATAGTGTTTGAAGATTCATGTTAATTAAGGTCAGATGAATAATTATTTTTTTTTTTCTCCTCCTCGCACAGTGACAAATTTAGCACTTTTTTTTCAGCTTTACGCTAGCGTTTATTTTTCACACAACTCATTGTGGAAAATCACAATCCACAATTTATTCTTTAACAATTAAAAATAAAAAAAACATCAGTTAATTTTTCACCACCGTTTGCAAAAAATGCAATGTGTATATATAACACACTCTGAAGTAAGTTAACGATTTAAAGGGCCATTTCGAGATCTTAAATCAAAATTATCGATTTTTGAATTTATGATTAAAAATACTAAATAATTCTAAAAAAATTATTTACATATTAATAGAATAAATAAATTTATTTAAGAAATTAATATAAAACATTAATTTAGATATGAATGATATTAATTAATCTATTGGGGATATTATTACCGTTAAAATATATTTGGCGCGCTTGTATAACTTACGATTTTTTTTTCTACGCATGCGTATTATTTGTAAAGTCAGTTAACTTCAGTTTGTAACACACACACACACACATGTTTGCTCCACATTTGCTCACTGCTCACACCGAATCATTAATAGTAAATTTACAAATATGTGGGTGTAGTGAAAAGTTATAAACATATAAAAACAATGAATATTAGAAGAAAAATACAATTTAAAATAGTTAGAGGTGCATAATTTGTTTTATACAATGTGAATTAATTAACCGATGTGCAAGTGCTTTCTTTTCGTAATTTTAACATTTCAATTTTTCTATATTCAAACAATTTACAATAACAATATATAATTTGTCATTAATTATTAAAAAAAAAAAATTCTTTAAATAATAATCCGAGAGTTTGTCATGATAAATATAATCTCAGGGTTTTTTTTACAAAAATTTCAATTTGATCGATGAGTGTCAAGTATTTATTAATTAAAAATAGTTGAAGGAATTTAAAGAATTTCTTATCACTTATTTAATGACTCATATTTATTATTACTGTTTCTTGTATTAACTTAAAAAATCACTATTAACATTTATCTGACATATCTTGAAATATTCTGGTATTTAGTAATTATAGGTTATGTTTTGATATTACTTTGAAATTAAATTTTGTCAAAATAGTTAAAAGTTTATATATATATATATAGTTATTTGCTTTTTAATTTTTAAATTTCTCTTATTTTTTATTGTAATTGTAACAATCATTTAAAATAATCCTGATTTATTTCTGACAAAAATAAATTAATTTCGAAAAATTGCAATTAAAATAGGGTCATCAAAATAATATGCAATAAATTTCATGACTTTGCATTTTTATCTAATGGAAAACAATAAATGACTAGCAAATGTTTATTTCAAGGATTTAAAAAAATGTTCATTCTTTATTTTGTTAATATCATTTGTTATTCTATTGTTTTCATTTTCTTAGGTTTTCTTTATTTTCATGATTGTTTCATTATTTATAATTATTATGATTTTAATTTTATATTTGATTACAGGTATAAATGTGTATGATTGAATTTTATTTAATTATAACTAGAAGAAAATAATCATCATGGAGGAGACATTTTACAATTCCACACCTCCATCATTTTCTAAAATTGCTCCAGCATATTGGAATTATTCGGATCATGTTATGTTGGATGACATTAAAGTCGATAGCAATTTTATTTGGTTGCTTATTTCATTGGTGTTAGCAATAATTTGGGTTTCTTATATAACATTTTATAATAGTCGAGTTATCGGATATATTATAACAAGATTGTTAAACCGATTTGTGATAAGAGATGGTTACGTTAAAGTTGGTAAGAATCAAGTGCCAAAAAAAAAAAAATAATTACAGTATTTTATAATAAATTATTAATTTCTTTTTTCAGGATCATTTACATTATGTGCATTAAGTGGAAAAATAATGTTTAGAGATATAGCTTACACTACGACTGATTATAGTTTAAGAATTCAGGATGGATGGTTAATATTTCGATGGTGGAGAAGCTACATTCCAAAAGATATTTCCGAAGGTGAATATTTTTTAAAAATTTGGAAATTTAAAAATATGTAATTATTCATTTTTTTTTCTTTTTTAGATTTCTCGCACTCTGATACACGTCTATCCGTTTTGTTAAATGGCTTTGAACTACATGTTTATAATCGCTGTCAAATGTATGCACAATTAGAGAAAGCTTTTGGCCTAACGCCGCAAATGTTTCAAGACATTGAAATACATAATGTAAATATTGACGATCGTGATGCGGAATCAATAAGTAATACAGCAAATGAAACGCGACAACAAATTAATGCAATGGACGTTTCACGGCACGTTGATAATATAAGAAAACAAGAAGCTCACGTAATTGCCAGAACGTGGCGTGATCTTATTCCAGTTATTAAATTAGATATTTGCACTGTAAGTAATTTTTTTTTCACCCTAAAATTTCTTTTTATTTAAAAAAAAAAAAATTTTTTTCAGGGCCGATTAGTGTTTGGTAATCGATTAGTACCCACAACATTATCGATAACAGTAGAGGAAGCACACTTTATGTATTCAACAAAACCAGCGGCATCACGTCACGATCATTTTATGCATTTCACTAAATGTAAAGCGGAAAATTTCAAAGTTATTTTAGCACCAAGTCCCAAATACACGGGAATGTTGGATGATCCCCCAAGATATATGGGAGAGGGTTTTGTTGTTTTAAGTTCAAATAATATTGAATTCTATTATTATATGGATGAACCTGGATTTGTACCGGATCATCCGGAAATGATTCGATTGGCAAATGGAGATATGGTTGAGGCGATGCCACCAATTTGGGGAATTGACATTAAATGCGGTGAGTTGCTTTTTGAAAATAGATTTAAAAGAAAATTAATTTTTATTAATTTTTTAGGTAAAGGAACAGATTTCAGTTATGGTCCATGGGCCGATCGGCAAAGGGAACATTTATTTAAATTCTTCTATCCAAATGATTATCAACATTTAAAAGTTACAAAATCTCCAATACCAGGGGAAAAAAGACAAGTTCAATCGTTTGATATTCGTTTGTCGACATTAAATGAAGCGACAATTGATATATTATTTAGTAAAAATCGTGAAACAAATGCCGTTCACGTTAACGTTGGCGCTGGTTCATATTTGGAAATAACAATGCCATGGATTGTTTTACAAGATGGTTTTACGACAAAAATTACTGGACAATTGTTACATCTTGAGGCGACGACAAGTCTTCAATATCGTAGTTTAGTCGAAAGTGAAACATTGGAATTCAGTGTTAAATGTCATTATCCAATAAGATGGAATGATCATCAAGAGTGGTCATTAAATTTGACTGGTTGTAAAGCAACTGCGAATCTAGTCTACTCGCACAAAGAATTTTTTCAGGTAGTTTATATTTAATAAATATCAAAATTATAATTTACAATTCTTACTAATATATAAATTTTTCAGGATATGATTAACGATTGGGCGAGTAAAGCAAGACCGGATATTTTACATTTTGTGCCATATACTTGGAAAATAAGTTTGATAATGAAAGAATTTGAAGTGATAACAATAAGTAATGAATATAATTGGATTGATTGCTCATCACAAAATCAAGAGAATGCACACATTGCATTTTGTGGTGAATTCTTTGATATGTCATTTGATTTGCCATTCACGGATTATCTACCAGTGACAATACCATTACGTTTTTGGCTTCAAGGCGAAAGTGTTGATCTTGCTTTCTATTTACCAGAGGTGAATACAAATCGTGTTGTTTTATTGGCATTGAATAAAAATGCAAAAATTTTAACACGTGACGGTACATGTAAACCAATGTCAGAATTAAAACGTGGTAAAAAATGGAGAAACGTTTGTCAAAGTGGATTAGGTTGGGTTGATTGTTGGTCAGTGCCAATAGCAGCTGTGAGTATTAATTATATTTATCATCCATGTCCACCATTGGGACCAACGCCACAAGCAAATATAACAACACCTGAGAAAGAGGAAATTCTCCTCTCGCCAATGCGTATACCAAGATGTCGAAAATCACCAGGACTTCATTGGACGCAGGATGGAAATCAAAAATTTGATCCACAAACATTGACACCCGATAAAGTGAGTCTTGATCTTGAAATTGGACCATCGGTTCTTATTTTAAATGGAGCTCTAATACGACATTTTGTTCATTTAAAAGAAAATATATTTGGTGATTATCAATCATTTACGGATATGCAACAAACTCGAACTACCTCGACTACGGTATCGGGTGAGAAAAATAAAGATAAAGACGCTCAAAATAGTAGCGTAGAAGCATCCGTTGAAGAAGAAGAAGCACGTGTAAAAGCATTTGATTCACGTGATTATCGTCCATTGGAAGTTACTGTTGGCATCACTATACACGATATTCAAGCGCATTTAGTGAAAAATTGCAATGACAATGATCCACCGTGTCCTATTATTTTATTGGAACGTTTTGGATTTGAAATGAAAAAAGGCTATAAGGAAACGCAACTTCAATTATTACTTTCACCGGCAATAATGCTCCTTACTGATAATGTTACAAGACCCAATAAAGAACGACATTTAAATCAAGGACATTTAATGCTCAGCGCATTACAAGTGAGAGGACACGCAATGTTTAGTAGCGAGGGTCGAACATTAGATCAAGAAACATTGGAATACGCCTGGATGATTGAGGTACAATTGGGAAAATTGAGTGGCAAAATTACATCACCACAATTACATCATTTAATTACATCGCTAGAAACTTTTCTTCTAATGGCAAAAAATTCGGAAAATAGTTTACGACCACCCGATCTTCCTCATCATTGTCATCATGGTCTTCCACCATTACAATGTCCTGATAGTAATCCAGACAATCATTATCGGTAAATATTTACTTATTATATTAAATAATTTTTTTTTAAATAAATTTCTTTTATTTTCCAGTTGTCCAAGTTCTGAGGATATCAAATATAGAATGACGAGGGTCTCAATAGACGCCTTGGATCTCTATCTTCAGGAATCGGGAACAGCGACACAATTTTGGATTTCGCCTATTCGTGTCTCAACGTGTAATTTACATGGACAGCAGGTCAAATCGGGAGTGACTGGTGTTTTACCCACAGTATTAATTCGTCAATTTGTTTCAGCGTCTGGTCATTTTGCTAATACAAGTAATACAAATACAACAGGCAGTGGTAGATCGCATAATAACGCAAGCAGCAGAATGTCAGGTATTTTAATATCTAAAAAAACAAAAAGAAAATTAATACTCTAATCCAATTTTTTTTTTTCATCTAGGAGATGGATCCGATATTTGGCTTGAAGTCGGATCAGTATCATTGGGTCCAGTTGTTATCGAAGCTGCAATTTCACTTCCAACTCCCGAGCATAATCTTCATTTGGTACAAAATAAATATTTGAGAACACATGACGAATCGACAAAACGTCTTTGGTTTCTTTGGCCTCAGGAAAGTGGTGTTAAACCAACAAAATGTGGATGCATTGGCGGTTGTGTTTTCTTTGGTAACAATAAAAATGGACAGAAATTCTTTAAACCAAGTTATCATGATCTTCACGATGGAATTAATATAGCAGCCTATCGGTTAGTATTTTAAATATTTTTTTATTATTCAAAAATAAATTTACAAAAAATTTTTTTATTTAGAATTTACGAAGCTGGAAAGGATAAAGGATTTGGTCAATCAATATTGCACGAGGGACAATTAGTTTTCCACACGCCTCCCTATAGTTTACAGGATGTTACACTTCAGGATGTTTGTCATACTTCGTCAAATTTAAAAGTACCCGGACAAGATTCATCGAAAATTTGTGTGGAAAGATCAAGATCCGTTATTGATCACAATAAAGATTCAAATGATGAAAGTGCAAGTATGAAATTAAGTGCAACATCTGCAAGTCCTCTCACTGGTAGTTGTGATAGAAAATCACTGGGTCGACGTTTTTCTTACACTTCCAACAGGTATAAATTAATTTCACCTTTTGATTTTGTCAAATAAATATAAAAATTCTATTTTACCAGGGGATCAAATATAAGGGACGTTCCATATTCCCGATTAGTTGATGCAAGTCCAATTAGTCAATTGCCACAAAAATTGGATTCGGATTCAATTCTAAATACCGAACGCAGTAAATCAATTCTCAATGTTCCGGAAATTGAGACAGCGCCAAAAAGCAGTGTCTCTGATTCAAAACTTGCTGTCGATTATTTTAGTGTACAAGAAAGTGAATCATTTCAACAGACTAGTCCACAATCATGGAAAATTATTACAACAGAACCAAGTCCAATATCAACACAATTCAAAGGAACTGAATCAATTGTCAATGTTTCTGATTCACATCATTCACTTTCAGCTAAATCAGATTCAGATGAAAGACTAAAGCAAGAGGTAAATTTTTTTCTTCACAATTTCATTATTTTAGTTTATTTCAATAATAACTTTTTCTCAGGTTCAACGTACAGTGTCAATGTCATCGGAGAATCATTCGGAGGCATTTTATTCGGCTGATGAAGATACAAGTCATGGTCTTGGTGGAAGTCGTACACCAAGTTTACGTCAATCAATTATTGGTTCGGGTCCAATTTTAACACGTAACGATAGTATGAAAAAGAAATTCTCCTCTGATTTATCAATTGTTGAAAGTTCAGCGAATGTGAATTTTATAACAAGTGAAAAAGCACACACATTAGAGAGAGCAAAACCACAATCGTTAAATGCAAGAAAAAGTCCTCGTTTACCTGGTAATATGACAACATTTCATAGAGATGTTGAACCAAATGAAAATGGTCTTCTTCACGATTCATCTGATAGTCATTCGGTATCATCGACAAGTTTCATATCGGCAGTATCGTCACAGGAGGATATGACATTGGTTAATTTACATATGCAGGTTAATAAACCAATTGTTGATTCACCATTGTTGATGTCAAGTTATGTGAGTCATTTAACGCAAGTACGTTGCTGTAATTGGAGTCAATCATCATTGCCAAGTGGTGGTGGTGATGCTTTTACAACGCCATTATTTCAACCAACTGAAGATGGAAGATTAGTATACGTTGGTGGTCGTTATGTTCCAAAATATGAGACATTAACCGAGGGATTTACAACATTAAAAATGATCACACGAATTGATGGTTCACCAAAAGCGTGCTCATCAAATAAAACACCAACACATCCCTATGTTTGGGATAGCGCGACATTAATTAGTTCCGAAGGTGAGGATGATAATGCCACACATGATGAGGAAGAACTTCTTGCAATGCAACATGAAACTGGATCACGAACAACAGTTATTGTGAAATTAAAAGGCGATCTTGATATAATGATAAGTCCAATGGTTCTTGAATCACTTCAACGATTTATTGATGCAATAACACCGACACTTGCCACTTTGCATCCACTAACAATTATTAATCACGTGCATAATGAATGTATCGGTAAAGTTGAGGATGCAAATATTTTGAAACAAGATCAAACACTTTCTTATTGGAGTCAAGTGCAAACAAGCTCAAAACGATCAACTGCTGAAAGAAATGTAAAAAGTGATAATGGAAAAATTGCTTTACAAACAAGTGTCTATGAAGAAAGTATAACAACACAAATTCAAGGTAGTATAACATTGCCAAAAATTAATATCACATTACTTCAAGCATCAGTGGTTGAGGAAATTATTTCATTCTCAGCGCTTGACAATATTCGTGATCTCACTTGTGTTTCATTGTTTGCAATTTGTTTTGATGAAGTTACAGCGAGATTTTATCTTGGTAAACAAGCACGCGAAGTGGTGCAAACATTTCATAAACCCGCTGTTTTGCCTAATCAAAAAAAAGTGAATAAAATAACAAAAGCATTTTTACCGGGTCATAGAACAGCGGCTGTTGTTGCCGATATTGGTGGCGGTGAAACTGTTTATATTGAAACATCAGAAAAACAACAGGAGGAAATTATTGTCACATTAAATATTGGTAAAGTACATTCACAATTACGTAGATTGAGAAATGAATCGTCAATTTTAAAAGATGCTGTTATCACCGCAATACCTGGACAACATTCAAAAGTTTTATTCACCTGTACGAGAATTTCATCGCCTTTAAAATGCGTTGATTATTATCTTCAACAGCCATCGGAGGAAAAAGAAAAACCAGGGGTGAGTATTTAAAAAAATCAAAAATAATTTTTATTAAATTCTTTTTATGATTATTTAAGGCAACTGAGGAATTTACCATTGGAACTGGAGAAGATAGACTTGGATTTATAATGTTCGAATGTGGATTTGAAGGTATTAAGCTAAAAGTTGCTAAGAGATCGCAATTCGAAAAAGGCGAGAACGGAAGCGATGAGAAGAAAATTGAAACGGAAATATTGTACAATGATAGTGTTAAGAGTCAAGATGAATTGGATAATTCTACTCGTATGTATTTATTTTTTTTTTTGGTAGAAAACTATTCAATTTGATAATTTTTGTAAATTTAATTTTGTTTTTAGCTTTAAACGCGGAAATGAATGATACAGATCAGCCAACAACGCCAAATACAGCTCAAGTGAATAATAGTGCGACTAGTAATAATCTCGTCGCAAAAACAACAAATGGAAATACTGTTTCTTGTGTGATTGAATTAAAGACAGTGTGGTTTAATTTTGCCGCACCTCCACGTACGCCAATAACAAGAAAAATTGATTTTACAAGATTAGATTGGAATTTACTTAGTACAGCATCGCCAGCAATAAATGCCTGGATGAATCCAAGTAATCGATTTGCAATTCAAATTATTAATATGTTTCGAGCAATGTATAGAAGATCGACAGCTGTTGTTGCTTGTTTAATGGCTGAAGCTTTAGATATTCAAGGAATTCATATGCCAGCGAAGGTAAGGATAAAAATTGTTACAAAAATTTTTTTAATTCTATTTTTTCAATTTAAAAATATATTCTTTTTTTAATTCAAAGAGTCGATATGGAAGACTCACGCCACTTGCCAAAACTCTTCAAGAGGATCCGTCTTGTCAATTATGTAGCGTTTTACAAAGTTACGTAATACTCACCGACATTTTTATGATTGAAGAGAATCTTCACGAAGTCGATTTGCCTCTTTTATCAACCCTTCGTCAGGTAATAATCTTAAAAAAAAAATTTAAATAAAAATTATTAAAAATGATTAATTTTATTTCTCTGTATTAATTTATTTTCTATAATTTTTAGGGCGTAATTGTTTTGAGCCGACAATGGAAAAACGTACTTTATACACCATTGTTACTGGAACATAATTATAAAACAAAACATGTTAAACCTCTTAATGTCACTTTTGCTGTTTCCGATCCTGATGAGGTAAAATTCATTTTTTCTTCTAATCTAATTTTAAAATTGATTAATTTTGTTTTTAATTTATTTAAAACTAAATTATTAATTAAAAAAAAAATTTTTTATTCAATAATTTACAACAAGTTGGTTAAAATTCTCTTAGGATATCAACGAACAATATATAATCGAGACGGATGAGGAGGAATTTCTAAATTATAAGAGGAGTATGGACATTTATGACATTTTATTTCTAAAAGTCTAGTAAAAATAGTTTTTTGTTATTTAAAAACGTCATTGTGTCCGCTTCTCTATTTCATTTTGGGGTTCTTTGATAGTTTTTAACATCATGTTTTTCAAAAGAATTTTTTTTAAATTCCTTTTTTTGTTATTGATATTTATGTGTATAATAGAAAATCGTTTCTAAAATCGCTGTGCTTTTAACATCTCATAAATAACACATGTTATTTAATTTCAATTTTTTTCAATTTTTAATAATAATATTGCTTAAATTTAAAATTATTTAATTATCTTTTTTTTTTAAATTATACTTGAGGCAAAGAAAATAAATGTAGGTATTAGTATCATGAATGCAAAAAAAAGCTTTGCTTTTGCCTTTTACACAGGAAAATTTACTCACGGACGGTGAAGGTAGTGCAGGAGACGTTGACGATCAGGAAGTCACTGACGAATGTGCTATGCTGATCCATACCGACAACTTGCACAAGCAAAGCCACGCAAAAAGTGGAAACGATAAAGCCTCAGGTATATTTTTTTTTCGTTCTCTTAATTCAAGCTGCTTTTTTTGAAAAAAAGACGAACAATCAAAATTTCACCACTTTTTTTTAACAAATATATTTTTTTAATGCACCAAGTCCTTATTATTAACAAACTTTATTGCTTTTCCTTTTTGCATATATGATTATGATAAATAGAAAAAATTGCTTTGTTTTAGCTAATTATTTTTTTTTTAACATTTGAAAAATTAAATTTCATTGTCAATTGAATTCATAATTCATTTTTAATAAACAAGATAGTAGTGCTTCGAAATATAATTTCGCGATAATTTTTGTAGTTGTAATTTCCTTTTTGGCTGAAGATGGTTTTGCCGCTTTCTATTGTGGAATTGTCTGACTAAAAAAGAAATTAGTGAAAATTTTTGTTTTTTGTATTATAAAAAAAAAAAAAAAAAAAACTTGGCTTGCTATATGGGAAAACCAGGTGTTTGTGGTGATGGTTTGACGGTTCCGGTAAGCTCTCCTCGCGGGAGAGATACCACTCCTTTATCAACACCGGTACCAGGACCGGATTCACTAACCTCTCCCTCTCCACCAGTAGCTCTTTCAAAAAAAGGAAGATCACTCCAGCCCACACAAGTGCCTGTTAGTACTCGTGCCAGTATTGTCTTTCCATTGCTTGCAAGTGGAGGATTATTTAATCAACCAAAAGAACCTAACATCAGTGAGTAATGCATAGAATTTAGAACTGTTTTTTAATTAACAAATAACAAGCACGTAAATAACTAAATAGATAATTTAAAAAAACAAAAATTAAATTCTTTTAAAATTTATTAGGCTACGGAACATTGCGAGAAGAGAAAACACCGCAAATTTATGTTTCACATTCACATCAACTTGGATCAAATCCAAGTATTTATTCCGGTGGAGGAGGACATGGAAGTCAACACAGTACTGGAAGTTTGGATCAAATTACATCGCCAACTGGTTATCATTCACGAGGTCCAGTTAATGCCGGTGAAGACTTGTATAGTTGGATGGCGAAACAACAGGAATTTATCAAGGAGAATGATAAGAGTCACTTGAAAGGAAATTGGGTATGATTTTTTTTTTTTTATCGCATCTTGACAATTTGGAATATTAATTTATTTTTCATTTTCTCAGGTCTTTCGGACCGAGCAAAAAAATGTTAAGGTACTTTTTTTAAAAAAAAAGGGAATCAATAGGAATAACATAATTTTAATAAATGTAACAATTTTTCAGGACTCAAAAATTAATACAATGACAACTGACGATACTGAAGATTCTGATGTTCAAAGCCGGCCATTTCTTTATCCAATGAAAGATTCTCTAAGACTATTGGATGCTCATTTAATTTTCGAACCACTTTTATCGTCATTATCTGTGATGCCACAACAAATGCTGTCGGCAATTGGATCCAGTAATTTAAATAATGTTTCATCGTTAGATTCATTAGGTTCAAATTTGTCTCTTGTCGGTAGCATGGAGACAATGAGAATTGATATTATTGTCAGTGAATTTGGTAAAATTACCGATAAAAAGAAAGGTAAATTTCTATTATTCTAGTTTCATTTTTTTTTATATATTTAAAAAAAATTTTTTTAGGAAACAAATATCCAACAAAAAAAGGTGGAACCAAATTTCATTTAGACATACCGCCAGAGACACCGGCATTTTTGTGTGAAAAAATCGGTATCGATGTGGATATTAAAAAAATGGCCGATATGGCTGTTGACGATATGATACAGAAGCAGAATATTTTATATATTTCACGTGGTCAATTAAAAAAGCACACAAGTACGATTGTTAATTTTAGTTTAAATATTCGTTATATTAGTCAACAAGTGAATATGCCACTTTTGAGATTGTTGCATCAAATCAGTAATATGTATCAAAATTTCAAAGAAACACAATTAGAACTAAAGGAACAACAGCCTGAAATCAAGAGAAATAATAATTTAACCGTTCATAATGCTCCAACAAAAAATGGATCATCATCGAGTAAATATATTTTTTTTCTTCCTTAAAGATTCTTTAATTTTTCTATTTGTATATTAATTTAATTTACCTTTTTTTTTAGCATCCGATTTACATGAACAACTTTTAGTTGGTGGTAAAAAATCCGATGAGCCATTAAATCAGAATAATTTTGATACACAACAAAAAGTGACATCACCATCGTCAAGTATACGATCAAGACCACAAAGTTTTGCGCAAAAATTACGAAGCACAGGAAAAAGTGTCAAAGGCTATATTAATTTAAGTGAAGGTGTAATAACACCAAATTTCGGTGTCAGTCCAAATGGTTCGGGTCTCGATAAATTCAGTATTATTTCGGAAAAATGTAAAGACTCATCAAAATTAGCGCCACGTTGTTGGAAAACAATTTACTATCTTCTTGATTTATATGCAACAAAACCTGAAACAAAAACTGTTGCACATCGTTTTTCCGTACCAGCTGATAATGCGGAAAATTATAATAAGAGTGGTAAAAAATATGAGGCATTAAACGAAACAAAAGACACGGATATTGAGAAGGGAATTAATGCCGAGAGTAGTTCGACGCCAATTCCACCGCAACGAGAACTGAGTAAGTTTCTTTTTTTGATTAATAAATGAAAAAGTTACTAGTATTTGTTTTTTTTTTAGATTTAGTGACTGGAGAACGTACAAGATTGATAATATTTGGAGTGGCGAGAATTCATCGAACACGATTATTGGCGACATTAAGTGGTTTAAAACTCGAAGCGGAAATAACGAGTTTACACGCAAGTTTAACGTGTCGAAAAAAATCACGACCAGCGAGTCTTGAATGTAGTTTAACGGGACAAATTGGACGAACGATGATTGTTTTATTGGAAGGTGTTGCTCCAAGTCAACAGACAGTGGTTAAAGTCACTGTGGGAAAATCACAAGCTTTATATTCAAGTGTTACCAGAAAACAAAAGGATAAAAATAGCGGTTTATTAACTGTTGGCGCTGTTAATATTGACATTCCACAGCATCCGGTAGCATTGCATGGAATGATGACCAGGGGTAGTAAACAATTATCTTCCACCCTACAGGTAAATTACCAAGTTTTTTTTTATAATTTGTTTTGTTTTAAAAATGTTTTTTAAATTCTTTTTTAAATTTATTTATTTTTTTTTGTTAAAATATGATTTTTTTTGCCAGGAATTGAGAGTAACACGAGCGTCATCGAGACTTTCGCGTGGACAACAACAGGAGGAGGCTGACGGTGCACCAGGAAGTCCACATCAATATCCACCGGCACCAACAATAGATGTTGAGAAGCCACAACATGTCTCGGGATTATTGGAGCCAATTGTTATGCAATTTCATCTTATTTTACAAAGTCTCAGTATCACCGCTGCCTTATTGCCATCACTTCAAGCACAATATAAAATGGATCAAGTCACTAGTTCTGGTATAACTGGTAGTAAGGCTAAATTTACTATTGATTTACCACAACATAGTTTGAGTTTCACTACTAAATTACAAGTGACCGAGGCAAATTTACCATCGGAAGCGAGTATTGAACTTCCAAAAGTTCATGTTTCCGCTGAATATATTCAAGACGGAGGTAGCAGTTTAAATGACAGTAAACTTGCCGGTAATTCTTTTTAATAAATAAATTAATTTTAATAAGTGTTTGATAATTAAAATTAAATTTAAATTCATTTTTTAATTTCCAGATGGTGTTGTTTTGAGACAGGGAAGCTATTTGAGCGCAAAGGCAGATATTGGAGTATTTGAACATTCATTATCAACTGATTTATTGAATCATTTGGTATTTGTGCAAAAAGTATTTATGAGAGAAGTAAATGAAGTCGTGCAAAAAGTTTACGGAGGGGAAAAACCTGTGCCCCTGTGGCTTGAGGACGAAGAACCCGCATCAACTTCTTCTTCGCTGAAACGATTCCTATTCACTTTAATTATACGAATCAAAGTAAATAATCAATTTTTCACACTAAAAAAAAAATTAAAATTTTTTGCTTAAATTTTGCTTTTTTTGCAGAGAATCCAATTAACAGCAACGACACCAACAAATTCGGCAGTGCGACTTGAAACAGGTGCCGTTGAATTACAACTATCGAATCGAGTGCAAAATGTATCTGGTTCAACGCATATGAAATTATTTGGTAAAGCACAAGTTGATATAAATTTAAGTTTAGGACAATTGTTGAAAAATGTCATGTTCGAGGAAGCGGAACCGGAATTTCAACAATTTGCATTTTTTAATACACGTGTTGGTCTACGCAATGCATTTCAGGAGGAAATGGCTGAGGATGAAGCAAAAGAAGTTGTATTAATAACATTGAAACGTCCATTAATTTATATACAACCAATTGCTGTTGATAAAGCAGTTTTAGTTTGGTTAAATTATAAAAATGCCTATGAATATTGGAATGAAAAAAGATCGAATTTAAATAAAGAAGTATTAACGGCAACGCAACAAGTTTTTGAAAAAGTTCCATTTGGCCAATTAACAAGTCAATTGAGTGCACCAAATTTAGGGACATTATTTTTACAATTAACTGTCGATGATATGGGAATTTGCATTCCATTAAATTCACTGCCACCAAATAATTGGGGAATGAGTCGTGGACTTTATGATGGTGAATCACGTGGCGCTGTTGTTATTACATTAGAAAATACAAGTATTTCAGCATGTAGCAGTGGAAGTCTCGTTAGTAAAGGACGGTACGTTTTTTTTATTCCTTAGGAAAAAATATCTAGTTTTTTTTAATTTAGAATTAACATTTTTTTTATTTTCAGATTTGTTGGTCTTTGTCTGAGATTTGCAGAAGATTTTGAAACATCTTTAGATGATTGGAAACCAGATATGACGGATAATAATGTAATGAATCTTTGTGTTGTTTCTGAAGGGACTTATGAAGTTTGCAGTCGAACTATTGCACAAAAACAAGATAAATCCGGTGTGATATTAAAATATATTTTTAATTATTTTATTTATTTCTAATAAGAATAATAAAAATAAAATTAATTAATTTTCATAAATTACAGATAATGCAAAATGGTTATTAAATGTACAATGGCAAATGGAAGGTGTTGATATTCATTTGGATGTGAGTGTAGGTAAACAATTATCAGCATTGGGTCACACTTTAACGATGTTGACAGGCTTTGAAGAAGACGATCCTCATGTTTCATTGGATTATGACAGTGACGATGGAGATCAACCAAACAATAGCACGAGCCAGGTTAAGAAAAAAGTATGGTTTCGTTTTCTTTTTTTATTTTATGTATTATTCGTGTGACGTCTTCGGCTTTGGTAATGTACTAACAAAAACTGTGGTGTCTTTTTTGAAACTAATCTAGAAAATAATTTTATTTCCCCTCTAATTAAATTTAAAAACTTTTAATTTTCTTTTTGTGGATTATTTTATTTAATAGTTTTGAATTTCTATTAATTTTTAAAGTTAAGTTAAGTTTTTGTTAAAGTTAAGTTTAATAATTTTTATTGAGTTTTTTCGTTTTTTTTTTCTAACAGGAAAGCATTTTAATGAAAAAATCGAAAAATTGGACAGACAGCTTACCGGCATTTGTGTTTGATCCGTCACTTGACGCGAAGAAACGATCAAAATTAATTGAAAAAGAAATGAACGAGCAAGCAAAAATTATAAATGATCTACGATCGTTGGGCGCTTCTCATGGAACAATTGAACAGGAAATGAAACGTTTACACGAACTCGAAGCCATGGTTTTCAAAGATTTCCGAAGGTTATTATTTTCTCAAGAGTTTAATTTTAAAAAAATGATTTTTATTTAAAATAATTAGAAATATTAAAAAATAATTTTCTCAACTTTTAGGGACATGATTCAAAGATTGAGAAGACAGTCTGTTAAAGCATCGGGAATAAAGGGGAAACTTGGTTTGGGAAGTAAATCAAATGCATATCGTTCACGATCATTTATCGTTCCATCACCAACTCCAGAACATCAAGTTGAAAGTCCAGAAGATTTAAATGCTGATATAAATTCCGCAAATTCTGCAAGTTATGAAAGTAGTCCCAGAAGTGGTCCAAGTCGGTAAGTTCAAAAATATTCCTTTTTTTTATTATTCATTTTTATTTTTATTTTACAATTGTTTTTAGATCTGCATCGTTGAGAGTTAAAGGACTCAGTGGACCACGTGTGACATTCAGTGATACACATACAATGTGCAGGTATTTAATAATAAAATATTATTAATCTAAATAATAATTTGTTCGCAAATAGACAATTCATGTTTTGTTTTTTTTGTAGGCAATCTTCATTGCCAAGTGCAGGCTCAGAATTAAGTTTACCCGAAGGGGAACTTAATTGGCCCGATACTATTGAAATTGAAGGTGAACAAGTTGAATTAAGAAAAAAACATCGTGACATGAGTGTTACATCGAGTTACGATAGTATGGAAGGAAATGCGCCACTTCTTGATTCATTTGGAAAGGAACAAACATCAACGACATCATCGCCACATATCGTACCACAAAAGCCTCAGGAGCCTAATATAGATTTTGAACTCGATGTTAAAGTTTTAATTAATAGCGGAAAATGCGTTTTACATACTAAAGATCCAAAGGAGGACGAACTCAAATTGTAAAATTTTTACTAAAATATTATTTGGAATTTTTTTTTTAATTATTAATTTACAAATAATTGTAATTAATTTTAAATGATTTTAGATTAACGAGAATGAAAAAAGAACGTTCTTGCTCTGGTGGTACATTTGAATTCCAGCCAAGTAGTCCCAGTAGTAGTAGAAAGCATCTAAGCAGTAAAGATAAATCAGCAACTACAAGTTCAGCGAGATTAAGATTCGTTCATCATGCGAGCGTGCCTTTAGTAGATTTGACCATTTTTCACATTCCAGGATTAGATGTTAAGGTACAGGGATTTAAAAAATAATTTTTTTATAATTAAATAATAATTTAATATCAATTTTTTTTTTAGATACATTATGAGTCAAAAACACTTCCTGAAGAACCAATTTCACCGCGAATTGCAACTGATCAAAATATATTAAATCCTTTGACGTCGAATTTATTGAAAAAATCAAGCACAAAGAAAGCCAGTCTTTTTGCATGGATGACACTACAAAGTATACCCGAAGAAACAATTATTAGTCCGCATATTCTTGAATTTCTTGAACAAACACTTGAGCCAATTCCAAGTAAAACGTCATTTCACAGTGGTGGACAAACAAATGCAATGTTTCCCCTTGAAAATATGGATAGTTCCTCGTGGGCCGTTTCTGCTGCAAGTGGAAATTATGTTTATTCTAGTTTTCCAGTCGATGTGATTGTTTATTTTCACATGCAGCCCTCCACTTTTAGGTATATGAATTATTTTAACAGGAAAAATTTGTTTTTAGAGCATTTTTTTTTAGATTAATAATTTTTTTGTAGATTTTCATGTTTGCCGGTATCGAGAGTGGAGTGTATGTTACAATTACCATCGCTTGACATTGTTTTTTCCTCGAAACGAGCTGAGGAAGAATTGACTGAATTCAAAGAATACAAGACAAATAATAATAATGCGCAATCAATGGGAAAGGAGGCTGGTTCAGCGACTGGTGGATTATCAGTGACTGGTTGTCTTGCTGATTTTTCCGTTTATATATTTCACCCCTATGGTGGTGGTAAAAAATCAGGATTAAAAGAGGCCCAATGGTCACCATTGTCCGATAGCGAACGTAAAGACTCACTCAGTATTAATGTAGAATTTGTGAAATTTCATTTGTCAAGAAGTCGTAAACTCAATTTTCCCAATGAGCAATTGAAGAAAATTGATTCCAGCCGAGCCGTTATTCGTTTTTCAAGTGAGTTATTATTTTGTATTATAAATTATTTAAAAAAATTTTCGTATCTTGATTTTTTTTTAAATAAAACAAATTTTTTTTGCAGCTATTGTTGATATTGGTTCAGCGTCGTTTAAATACGATATGCGTCGTTTAACGGAAATTCTTGCTTTTCCAAAAGCATGGTATCGTCGTAGTATTGTTCGACGTTTATTTTTGGGCGATTTAAGTAGCAGTGCAGCATATTCCGAAGGTGATGGTACACCGCCTTTAAATCAAGAGGAGGCTGTTATGGGAAGTTCATTGTTAAAACATCACGAGAGACATGGTGCAGATATACTTTCAAAAAGTGCTCCCGAACGTAGTCCAACTTTAAATCGAGATAAATTAAGACTGAGTCTTGAAAATGATATACCAAAACATGCGCGGCTAAAAGGTGATTGATTTAAAAAAAAAATAGATTTAACAAAAAAAAAATTGTTAAATAATAATTGTAAAAAAAATTAATTTTCTTTTTGCAGATATTGGAAGAGGTTGGAGTTTTACTGCCGAGAAACAAGCGCCATCAGAAGTGAAAATGAGAGAATCAGCATGGGAAACATTGGTTTTGTTTGCAATTAATTTTACACGCTTGAATGTTCATATGAATATGGGTAACGTTATGGGTAATGTTTCTTGGATGACAAAAGATTTTCGTTCTGATGGAAGATTATCGATTGGAAGTACAGGACATAAAAATTTGTACATTGGCGTTGGACTAGGTGGTTCGAGTTTAGATGCAAAAGGCGGAATTGTCGGTGGTATTATCGAACTGAGTAAAATTGACACATACAGTAAGTAAAAAATCTTTTTCAATTGTATTCAATTTTTTTTTTAATATTAATAATTTTGTTTATTGTAAATTTATTTTGTTTCTCTATGTAAAAATATTTTTTTTTTAGTACACATTCGAGAAGAACCGGGAATTGAACCCGATCATACAGTTGGTTTAAAGCTTTTTGCATTGGAATTGCGTCTTGATTATATGGGAACGAGTGTTTTAATGAGCCGTGTTTCTTCTCTTGACGTCACACTTAGGGATGAATGGAAAATTAATAGAAATAATAAAGAGGACGCTTTTATGCCAACAAGAAGGTTTGTTAATTTAAACAAAAATTAAAAAAAAAAATTTTTTATTTAATTAATTTCTATTTTTTGTATTTTAGGCCAGCAATTATTTTCATGCACGGCGATTTAGGTTGGGATCAATTACAAATAATGATCAGTAAATCAACAACTGCTGATCTCTTGAAAATGTTTTATAAATTAGATGAATTTTTCAGTCAACAATTTAAGAGTAGTAAACGAGTGTTTAGTTCATTGCAACCACGACATCAAAGAGTTAGCAACAGTAGCTTTAAGAAGAAGCAACAAAAGAAAAAATCAACTACCGAAAGTAAAAATCTTTTGGAAATATTTGAAATGATTTTCGGTAACGTTTTTTTATTTTTTTTAATTTGCCCAAAAACAAAAATTTTTATCTATTTTGAAAATAATGGTAACAAATTAGAGTTACATTTTTTTCAATAAATGTAACTATAAGAAAACGTTACTTTTTAAAAATATTTATTTAATTTTGAAATTTTATTTTAAATTTACTTTCAATTCATAGTTTTCTTTTTTTCCGTATTTTTATTATTGTTTTTTTTATTTATTTCATTGCTTTCGATAATTAATATAGTTGAAATTTTTATTAAGGTCCGTGGACGATGAATCAGACGGCAATTTCAGATGCACGACATCATCGTCATTGGCAACGTGTTTTGGCTCAAGTGGCTGGCCTTCAATTAGGAAGTTTAAAATTTTCTTTACCATCAAATGGAACCGTTCTTGGTGGTACAATGGAATTACATGGATCCAATATCAGTCTTGCTTGTTTTCATGGGATTAATTTCAAAAGTAAAAATTGGGCTCTTTTTTCCATGAAGGAACCGTGTATTAGTTTTGCCACTGAAGCTCAAGAAATACCGAATGTCGAATGTAAGTTTATTTTTCCTTTTTTCTTCTTAATTCAATAAAAAAATTTAAATATTTATTAATAATTGACAAATAATTACTTTTCAGCGCCAAATACATGTGACGTTCATATAGTTCAAACTTTAACGATAAGCTTGGGTCAACAGCAAGAACAACACGCTAGACATCATTCAATGGCAACAGTTTGTAGGCTCAGTAGAAGCGTTTTATTTCCACCACAATTTAAAACATTACAGGAATGGTTTCATTATGCGTTCGCGAGCAGTGAGATCGATGGTATAAATTCTTTTTTTTATTTCATTTACAGTAAAACCTAGTTAACTGGGACTTAAAACTCGTCTCATATGAACAAGTTTGAGTGTAATTTAAATAATTTTTTTTTTACAGCTGTGGATCGATTCCCGTGTGTTGAACGTGAAAGAACGGACAGTACATCAGAAAGTACGAATCCAATTCGTGGAAGAAGTACATCAACTGCTTCTGGCAAATTACAGGAACATTCACACACAAGGGAAGTGATATTTGCTCTACCCTCATTGCAATTGCACTTAAAAACAGAACATTTACAAAGTGCAAATACACCCGATGTTATTGGTGAGTTTAAAACATTTATTTTGAAAAACGGTAGTTAAGTTTTTTTTTTTTGTAACTCTAATCGATCACCTTTTAGCTTATCTGTGAAAAAAATGATAGTCATTAGATAATTTTTTTATTTAAATTTTCTACGGTATTCTGCAAATATTCTTCTCTGTATATTTTTAGGACTGCCTAAACATATTTTATATAGTAAGTACTATGAAAAAATGAATTGCACCGGCTTTAATAGAAAGTTGAAATTTATTTTCATTTATTTTTTTGTTAGTAAACGCGCATGATGCAAAAAAAAGTACGATTTTTTTTTATATTTTTCCTCATGTGGAAAATTTATTCGCATGCAGTTGATTTGCATTATTTTTTCCCAATTATAATAAAAGGTTAATAGTAATATTATTTAAATTAATTAACTTTACAAATATAAATTTCAATTAATTTAAAAATAATATATATTTCTGCAGATTATTAATTTTATTGGCATTAGTTTTTTAATTAGAAAATTTCATTTCTGATTTTTTTGAATTTTAAATTAAGAAATAAATTTTATTTTAAAAGGTGAAAAGCCACTGGTGGAATGCAGTTTTATTACCGAATTTGAGGATCATATTTTCGTTACTGTTGATGCTGAAGCCTTTTTCTTTTTACATGATCTTGTTACTTCTTATGTGAAAGAAAAAGAACGAGTGGTGAGTATTAAAAATTTCTCTTTTTTTAATCAAATCAAAAGAATTTAATTTAATTTGAAAAATTGAAATCGTAGAATTATGGAGCAAGAGCACATAGTCCTGAGGCGCAAGAAAAGAAAAGTACAACTACAAATACAAGTACATCGAGTGCGTCTACAAATTCTGAAGATGAGAAGAAACGAAAACAATATGATCCTACCGAGATGTTTGTAAAAGATTGGCGATCGTACAGATGTAAAACATGGCATCTCGAGCCCACTGTTCGGTAGGTATTTTTCATTTATAAAAAAAAAAACTTTCAATTAAAATTAGAAAATAATTTTCATTAATCGATAATTAATTTTTCTAAAGATTACTTTCATGGGCCGGCAAAAGTATCGAACCATATGGAATCGATTATATTCTACAAAAATTGGGTTTCTCTCATGCACGAACGACAATTCCAAAATGGATTCAAAGAGGATATATGGATCCAATGGATAAAGTTCTCGCTGTTCTTATGCTACGAATGGTTTTGGCAATACGCGAAGAACCCATCGAGGACAAAGAGCACAAAAAAGAAAAATCGTGAACCTATCAATAAGGATCTCAAATAAAAAAAAAAAGTATACAGAAGAGGAGAAGAAAAAAAAGTCTGTATGATATTCATTTTTGTGATATAACGTCCAAATTTTCAAAAAAAAAGAAAACTAGTCTCTTAAAAAAAAATTGCTTCATAAAGAGTCATAAATAGAAATCAACGACTGTGAAGCTTCGATTCACATATACATATATATTTAGTGTTCAATATTTATAATTAAATATAAATATATATATATTATAATTATATACCGAGAAGAATAGACGAGAAAAAAAAAGAAATATATATATTAATATCATCGAAAAAGTGATAAATATTGATCTAATATTGGAAAAGGCATCGTAGTTAGCCATTCCTGAGGAATAATGACGAAATAAAAAATCGTCGATCTTTCTCGTGATGCAATTGCGTTTTAGATGAATGTGATATGTTACAGTGCAAATTTCATATTTCTAGCGGTATATATATATATATATATGTGTGTGTATAATTCGAGTATATGCATATATGTGATTTATGAATGAACCTAAAATGAATGTCGAAGCAAAATAATAAAACCACCCAAATGTGGTTCACCGTGTCTTTATCATATTTTACTCTAAGTGTCACAAAAGTAATTAGTACATTATTGTATATGTATATATAATCGGTGGAAAGAGAATTTAATCCCTAAACTAAAAAAAAACAAAATCAGAAATTTTTCGATTTTCCGGAATTTTCTCTTTTTAAAAAGGAAATTAATTTTGATTTATTATTCAATTTTTATTTTGTTTATTATTCGGATAATCGTAAAATGAAGATTTATAGAAAAGAAAACACTTTGTTGTAACGTGTAATTAACTGTTCTTTTGGTAAAAATAATTTTTTTAACGTGCCTCGTTTTTATACACAAAAAAAAAAACAAAATAGTTAATTGTGAAACGACAAAAAAATCTTTTTATCTATAGAATAATTATTCGTTACATAAAAACTGCACTTTGTAAAGAAAAAAAAAAAAATTAATAATGGTGCTACGGTTTATACATAGGACATCGAATTATTTATATTTGTTTATTTTAATCCTATATACATATATATATATAGGTATGACAGCATATCAATAAGTAGTGAATGATTTTTCCAGTTAAAAAAAAAGAGAATAAGATTTTCCTTAAATAGCTTTTGCATTCTTAGCGCAAATAATAATTGTGTTCGAAAACACATTTTTTTCGAAAAACAAAAAGACATTCACGTGTGTATTCATAATATTGAAACTTTCTTTCCAATACTCAAATTATTTCTCATTTTAACATAAAAATATATTGTTTTTTTTAACAATTATTATCAGGAAAAATGTACCGTTTTTGTTTCATTGAGAAATAATTAATTTTAAATTGTTATTATTAATTTATTTGAACCATTTTGTTCAAAATAAGCAAAAACACATTAGATTTACAAAATGAAAATTTTTGATTAGTTTTAATTTAAATTTACGTAATTATATATTTTTTTAAAACTTATTTTCTATTGTATTATATATATATTTTTTTAATGATTTATCATTAATTTACTTTTTGTGTAAAAGCAACAGGGTTTTTATGAATGTTTTTATAAAAAATAATTTTTATTATTTAAATGTAATATTAATAATTAAAGTATAAATAAAATAGTCTTTGATTTATTAATTAGGAGAAAATGTAAATAATAAATTAAGCAAATTTTTAAATTTAAGATTTGTACATGATTATTTAAAATATCAGGGATACTCTTTTTCTTAGACCAAAAATATGTAATAGTGTTTTTGCTAATTTTAATCAAGATGATTGTTAATAGATTTTTTTGCTGAAAGTTATTTTCATTTTCTGCGTTTTGAAGAAAATTATTCGTCATTTACAGTAGCAAAATTATAAAATCGTATACATATTATACATATTTGTTGATAATTTATGATAATAAATCAAGAAGCAAGTTTTCTGATATTCGTGTTTAATTTTTTTTTTAAGTTTAAAAATTTGTCAATTTCCCGCTTTTGATTTGAAAATTTTGAATTTGCCCGCTCAATTTCAAACCCACCGGAAGTGTATATTCATGTGATTTCGCCCTTATGGCGGGAAATGTCGCATCAGTCGCACAAGATGCGCGGGAATGCATGTTGGTCGTGAGTCTCGTTTACGTATAGGTGTGTACAATTTTTATAATCGGTGAGAAATTAAATAATTTTTTATGCGAATTTTAAAATGAATAGTGCGTGATTGTTTTTGACATTAAATACACAGGTATAGTCTTTTATTTAATTGTGCGTGTGATTTCTTTGTCGCAGTGAAGAAATATAACCTCACTTTTGATAACAAATTTATTTTTTAAATTGTGCTTTGCGTGAACAATTATCGGCTCATATTAAGTAGAAAACTTTCTCAAAATAAGAAAAATATTCTCAAATTAAGATTAGTTTGATAATTTTTAATTGAAATATATTATACCGATATTTTGCATTTGCGCATGCGCGAGTTAGCGTGAGCAGGTTGCGGCTGCGCGTCAGTTGCATTTAGTCGCCCGCGAGTAAGCATCGTTGTATTTTACAGTGGTTATATTTTCATAATCGGTGAGAAATTAAATAATTCTTTTTGCGAATATACGAAAGAAACAGTACGCGATGCATTATTTGTATTAATTAGATATGAATAATCTCGGAAAAAGTTGTACGCGTGATTTCTTTTTTGCAGTGAAGAAACATAACCTCAATTTTGATGATGAATGTAAATTGTCTTTTTAGCATCCGGGCAACTTTATATGAATAATTTTCGCTCTCGTATTGAGTGAACAATCTTTTCAGAATAATAATAATAATATTCTTTGGTGAATAATATAAAATGTAAGTAATCGGATAATTCTGCATTTGCGCATGCGTGAGCAGGCTGCGCGTCAATCGCATTGAGTCGCCCGCGAGTAAGCATTGTTGTATTTTACAGTCGTTATATTTTCATAATCGGTGAGAAATTAAATAATTTTTTTTTGCGAATATACGAAAGAAACAGTACGCGATGCATTATTTGTATTAATTAGATATGAATAATCTTGGAAAAACTTGTACGCGTGATTTCTTTTTTGCAGTGAAGAAACATAACCTCAATTTTGATGATGAATGTAAATTGTCTTTTTAGCATCCGGGCAACTTTATATGAATAATTTTCGCTCTCGTATTGAGTGAACAATCTTTTCAGAATAAGAATAATATTCTCTGGTGAATAATATATTAATTTTATAGAAATATATGGATAATTTTTACTCGCGCATGCGCAAGCTGACGTCACAGTTGCTTCGCGAGTAGTTTACGTCGCGCGCGAATACGTATCGGTCACTGGTATATGTTTTTGTGTATTTTTTTTTGTAAATAGTGAGTAAATTCAAGAATTTTTTTTTGTAAAAGGAAAGGAACAGATAAATTTATTTAAAAGGAACAGTGTATGATTGTGTTTGACTTTATGTACATATGGACATCTTCAATTTAATTGGCCGCGTGTTTTCTTGTTCGCTGTGTGGAAACATAACCCAACTTTGGATGACATGTGGGTGTGTAGTTTTCAGTATCAAAATGAGAGGAATTCTTTTTTCAGTGCGCGTAATAGTGTAGTGTTTTTATCATCTGGGCGGTATCGGAGAGCATCGTTGAAATTATGTGCGGTGAGTTATGTTATTTTTATCATTTCCTACTTATTTGAATATTTATGAATATAATATTTCGTTTGAAAAAAATAATAATGGGATAGGAAATAAATGAAACACTTTTTTCAACGCAGATATAAATCTTCGACTATGCACTTTATTCGGATATTACAAAAACGATCTCATAGCGCATGTTTTTTTTTTTTTTTTTTTTTTATATATTTTTTAGTAAAGTGATTTTATCAGATCTGACAATTTTTTGTTCTTAAAAAGTGAAAAAATGAAATCGAAACATTCGAGGAAAAATGTGTTCCGATAACGTTAAAATGACTTCCTTTATTTACTTTTTTTTTAATATAGCAATTGAATCCTTTCATGCGCAGTGTTTTTTTTTCTTTGCTTTCTTTGCGAACATATATATTTTAACAAATGTTCTTTAACGGACAATCATTCTTCTATTTTGTCTGCTTGATCTCTACACCTGTTATAACTACTCATCTATCTATCTACCTATTTATATAGATACATTATAATTATATGTATATTTTTTTTTTATCTCGCGGGAAAGAACATAAATTCGTCAGATCCTCAAAATTCACTTATACATAATCTACAAAATCTCTGTCAGTTTTCCTCGAGGTTCAGGAACTTCCATAAAACGCAGATCTCAGATTCATCCAGGCTATTAGTTTTAATAATAATGATGATGATAATAATAATAATAATAATAATAAAAAAATGGTGATAATGATAATAATGATCGTAATAATAGTATTGACAATAATTGAAAAAATGATTTAATGATAATAGTTATAATAATTATATATAAAATATTTATAATGATAATTAAGCCAATACTGATATTATGATATTATTTGTAATAATAATAATGATATGATAATAATAAATAGTATAATTATTAATATAAATTAATAACACGCATGCTTAACTCTCTTTTTTTTTTTTTTAAACCCATTTGTTCGATATCATCACTCGCCCAATAATCATTTTCCTTCTTCTTTTATACGTATGTAATATATAATATATATATAATATATATTTTTATATATATATATATAGTCCTCTAAGCAAATCGCCCGCTCATTTAAGAGCGTCTCACGTATAAATTAAACGATTTTCGCTCATTGCTATTATTCTCTTAATAACGATGTTATTCTCTTTACAATAATAATATATGTATAGTTTGTCTAATAATTGTTTGAAGATGGTGCCCAATCTATGAGGGTGTTATACTTTATTTTTTATTTTTACGCGCTCTAAACGCTATTACAATATTAAATACATTTTAGAATTTGGTACTCTTTGAAAACGTCCCTCTTTTCTCTTGATATTTATTTATTTTTTTTTCTCTTTCATAATATTTGTCTCGACTGTGCTTGCATTTTCTCACACAGCTCCTTTTATGTATTTGGATATAATATATATATATACCGTTGATAAAACTTTAATCGCTTGTAGCCTATATCGTTTTTTTCTGCAGGTTTATTTTTTTTTATTTTTTTTATTATAATAATAATAATAAAAGGGTGCGCGCCTTGTGAAGGATAATCACCCCGAAGACATGAAAAGGATCTATTATATATTTATTTCCTATTAATATTTTTATTAGGTATATTATTACCTATTATTATTATTATTATTATTATAATTATTATATTATTATTATATTATTATATTATTATTATTATATTATTATTATATTATTATTATATTATTATTATTATTATTATTATATTATTATATTGTTATTAATATTATTATTAATATTATCATTAAATTATGAATAACAGTATATTCACTATTTATAAAAATTATTTACATTTTCACGAATTTATTTAAAGCAAAATGATATAAGAGTCTGCTGCGATTTTTATTTGCGTTCGAAGTTAGTGTATTTTTGTTTTGTTTTTTTTTTGTATTATAACGACCATAACATTTGGAAGCGCTGAACATTTCAATTGGATTGAAATTTTTTTTTTTTTTTTTTATATAGAGGGAAGATGTTACTCGAACACAATAATTTGATATTTAGTTTACATATTAGGGGAAATATTAGTGTATATAAAATATGATAATAACAGCATGTGAACAAATGACTAAAAGGGTTTGTTTATATATAATATAGAATGTCAGATTAATTGGTGAAATTATACAATTTTTATATATATTATATTTTTTTAAATATAATATTTTGATGATAAAAGTGCAATATAATGAAAATGAAAACAGGTTTTTTTTTTCTTTTCGTCACTTCGGGGTAGTTTCCTTCAAAAACTTTGAAAAAGTGTCGTTAATATAAACTTTTTGTCGAACCGACTTCAATGGCCATATTTTAATATTTTTAATTATTTTTATTTTTTACCGATATTTGCAAATGTGTGAGAGTTTATTATTATTCCAATAAAGACGTACATCCAATAGGATTTGAAATGACGTATGTACTTACAGTACTTAATTATTAATCATCGTTATTGATAATTACGTGTTTTTTTTTGGTTATTTAAAGATTAGGGTATATTATAGGTATTTTTTTTTTAAATATCGAGTATACAGATAAGTAGTGTCTTCTATTTTATTTATTTTTTTTTTTACTTTGCACCTCGATGTTTTTGCCAATATTATTTAATGAAGTTTTTTTTTACATGGTAAACAATTATACATTTTTATGTATGTTCTATATAGAATATACATAGAAAATAATTGTTTATTTTCTTCTGATAAAATGAAAAGTATTTTTAGAGTTTGGTATTATTATATGTACAGTGTGTCCACACGTAATTTTTTTTTTTTTTTTATTTAAATCGGAAAATTAAAATGACTCTTGTCTTTCATATTACACGTCCAAGTTCAAATACAGTCATTCTTACGTTTACTATACTTTCTTAGATGTTGAGCTTTTACAGTTTAGCGCTATTCGTCGGTTCGCGCTGTTTTTTTTAGGGAGGTATAAATTGCTGATACGACACATGAGTCTTTTTTTAAAAATTTACTTGGAAAAAAGTGTTTGAAAGTTCTCTTGAAATTTTTTTTTAAGTGAAATATATTTTTTGAATTAATAAACGATAAAAACATATATTTTTTTCATAGAGTATTTTAGTTATAATAATTTTTTTAATTTTTTTCAAACTTTATCGGATTTTTTTTTTTTAATTTGGTTAATAATGAGAACTTTCGAACGCTATAAATTTGATTATATTTCCAATTTTGGCAAATGTGTTTATATTTATCTAAGAATAATTTTGGGCGTCACCATTCTCATGAATCAGGTCGAAAATTTCGCGATTCTTTTTCAAGC